AACTATGGACAAGGCGATCCCAACTATTATACGACTGTCCCAACTATAGTTGCCTTCTCTTGTAGATGGGTGAGCTAATGGAAGCACTCAGTCAGATTTGTCAAACAATTGAACATTTAGGCGCCCGTCTTTCCCGCCAGCGATTTTTTCCTACACCACTAATTCGCTATGGGCGTATACTGAAGCACTGTTGAGTTGCAAGTCAGGTTTTTGGACTTTTTTTCCCTTGAAAAAAAGATCCTCCAAACCACAAATTGGTGAAAGAAAAAAAATGTTCCAAATGACTAACAAAGCTTCTTAAAAGAAAAAAAAGAGTAAAGAAGAAGAAAAAGAAACCCATGGTATTCAAACTCACACCATCGGATTTGTAATCCGATGTAGTATCCACTACACTACAGCAGTGACTTCACCGAGGTGCTTGTTTTAAAGATTTAATAATTATGATTGCATGTAAAGCACCCTTCAGCATAATTCTATGTGTAGTAGCGAATTATGGTAATCCTTATATTTAGGACACCTTTTTTCCCGAGTTCTGTTCAAAAGTGACTGTTGCAGATAACTGTCCTAAAGCAGTCTTTTTTCTTCAGATAAAATCATGTAAGTTGTAATTTTGAAAGCACTTTCAAAGAAATGTGACTTTCCTACCTTTTCTTTGCAGTACGCCATCTTGATTTTTAAAAATATTTTCTGTTTGTCATCGTCGTCTTTAACGGTTTAACCCCTCATAAATCAAAGCCCTGCCCTCTAAGTTCTACAAAATTAAACCTGCTGATATTCAAGAAGGTGTCATTGCCAAACTGTTAAAATATGTCAAGAAATATCAGAACGTCACTTTGGAGTGTCATTTAGTCAGCTGTTTTGGTGAGTCTTTCAACCTTATATAAGAACGGGGTCCTGAAGGTAAGGATTACCCGAATTTATGTGGTATGGAAGAATAAACGGCTTCCCGCCAACTGCTCAAGCTTGCCTGTTTGTTTCCATATCGCGAAATATTTTGTGATATCATGAAACAAATTTGATGTAAAATATTTTGCGACGTCGTGATTTACATGTAAGGTGTCCTTTCATTGCCACCAAACAGTCATGTATTCTGTTGTATTCTTATGAACGTGTACATCATTAGGTGCTGTTGTTGCTCGTGAGTACGGCCTTCCGTGTGTTGTCAATGTACAACGGGCTACCGTCGTCTTCAAGTCAGGTTAGTACAGCGTACACTACCGTGACTGGTGTCTAATCCATCTCCAAAAATAAAAGTACAATAAAATATTTGCCTCATTAATTGTATTTGTTACCGATTGTGAGTTATTTCTCAGGGGTAAGAGCGTTACAGTGTAATACTGTAATGACTCAGGGTAAGAGTATCTATTACCATAACCCTACCGTAACCTTAACCTACCCTAACCCTATTACCCTAGCCCTAACCCTAACTTTAACCCATATTTGATGTCTTTAAATTGCTATTGCCGCAGTTTTACCCCCTCCCCCCTTGATCATTATTTTATCCTCATGCTGGAATTGTTTTGTGGATTCACTCTGTGTTCTCACCACAGGTGACATTGTTCTTCTGGATGGAGGCAAGGGGACTATCGATAAAATACAAGCAACTGATTGAGATTCAATGGTTATCGCGTTATGTTGGAGGCTGGTTTGTTTAAGAATAAAGTGAAAATAAAGCCTCTGTAAAGGTGATGAAAATCGCAATGCAGTGCGCCACCAAGAGTTTGCGAGTCAATTTTTCAAGTTTACGGTAAACAAAACATGGCCCATTTCAATGAGTGTCAGTAGACAACTTGAATTAATATGTTATAGATTAGGGCATAGCGTTCTGTCGCCTAATACAAATAAACCCATCATAATGATAACAAAAAAAAAGAAAAAAGAAAAAGGCAAAGGCAAACAGATCCTTGAATCATACGCTTTCGCAACTACTGACTGGAAAAACTACCAATTTCAAATGTCCCGCGCTGTGAATTTGTCGACCACTACCCACAATGCACTGGGAATAATGAACTCTCCTTGGCAAACTCTTGGTGGCGCACTGCATTGTGAATCGTCCGAATTGTCCAATTCCTTATAATTAGCTCCTGTTATAACGAATTATGACAGAAAACTGTAATTTGTTTAAGGCAAATATAAATTGCCACACTTGGTCTGTTTTCGGTCTTTCAATCAAAAATAATATCTTTTTGGCAAAGCTCTTTATCTTTTTGCGTTCCTACTTTTGATAGTTAACTCTTGATTATTAATTACCTGTTTAACTGCATTGTTATTGACTGAGTATTATGTGTTTACAATTGTTTTACTAATGAACGTTTTTGTGTTTCATTTATTACTTTATAGTGGTCTCAGTATGCTTTTAGCACCTGCCATTGACAAGCTTAGGCTTATTATGGCTTGAATTAATTGCTTTGTCATATACAATTTTACTTATTTGTTTCTCCTAGACAACATTTATACAGTGTTTATGCGTCGGTGAAGGGCAAAAACCTAATTGGTAAAACTTAAATGCAACGTTGTATCAAATTGCAACCACAGTATAGTTATTGGAAACGAGAGTTTCTCCTCAAATAATTTGCACTTCCTAGGATACTCCTTTTCATTTTCCAAAAGATGACGAATTGCCAAAATGTAACGCTTAAGTTCCTCCTATACTTGACCACTGTTCCTGGTGTCCTGCTCTGTATTGGTAACTTAAATACTAAATTAGTTATAAATTGATTGGTTCGATTTATTCATCTTACTCTTAAAAGTGTTCAGTGGAGATGGAAATACATTTTTGGCTGTCAGTGGTTCAACTGTTACCATGGGCGTCGCCAGGATTTTTTCTAGGGGGGGGGTGGGCAATGCACATTTCCCCCAACAAATCCTTGTACTTTCTCTAGCATATTCTAAATTCATCATTTTTTTTAGGGTGGGCAGGGGGGGGGGGACAGTTGCCCAACCCCCAACCCCCTCCCCATTGACACGCCTGCAGACGCCGACTTTTGTTGAATGTGTTTTACTTAATAGCAAATAATTTCACACCTCTTTCCCTTTTTTTCCTCCTTTTTTTGCTATTTTAGGGGGGGGGGGAAAGCTTTTTGAAAAACGAGTCCCCAACCGACTGACCCTCAATCCTGATTTTTTTCATGTGAGATTAACACGGCGATTTGTGTTGGCCTCATATGTACGATAGTAAAAGCCGTACCAAAGCTGATAGCTTTTAGCTGGTGTTTTCCTTGAAAATGACCCAGATATACATTAAGTCGTCTATTCATATACTTTGTTTCATTTATCTGAATTTGTAATTTGATGTCCAGTTTCATTTGTGAGATATCCGTAGAGATTGTCAAATAAAAACAAACCAATAATCACCCCAAAAAACCTTACAAAAAGCGAACAAACGGACAAACATCGGAATTATACAGTTCTACATGTTCATGAGTCGTCGGAGGCTAGGGGTTAATAATATAAAACAAAATCAGCTCCACTTACCCACCCCAGCGTTTTACGTGGTTACGATTGAATCTGATGCCTAATCTGCTTCAGCAAACGATGATGAAATGCTCAAATGGCAATGAGTGATTGATTAACTCAAATCGACTGACTGATAGTGCCGACTCATGCAAAGAGCACCGTCCAAGAGTGATTCAGGTGGGCGTTTACAGGGCGGGGTGGGGGGGGGGAGCTTGACATTTTTTGACGCTTGGGGCTTTTCTTAGAGATGTTCTTATAATTATTCACACATGTACAGAGCCAGGTTTTAGTGCCAGGTTCAGCTTTGTTTTGAAGAGATAAACTTCAGTCATCTTCTGTTCTTGTTTCTTTTGTTTTTCCTTTTATCCGGAGGGAATTTTGTGGAGTCATGCCATCGGAGGAGTTTCAAAATTACAACCTGTATACCTAATTGATCCAACTCTTTGAGTTCTACCATGCGTCTCCTGGCAACCTCTTGTATTCCACTCAGCCAGAAATACGGTGCTGCCAAAAAATCACGTTGAGCAAATACAAGTTCACGTTGAGCAAAGGTTCAATGATAAATTGGCCTGCACGCTGACCAGCCTTCATAATGACAAAGCACAATTTGCCAGCACACGTTCCTGCTCAAAAGCTGTGGGGATGATATCATTTACAAAATGGCTGTGATTTTCAGTGAGTGATAAACTCAAATCGACCGACTTATAGTGCTGACTCATGCAAAATGCACCATTACTGAGTGGGGCGGGCTGGGGGGGGGGGGGGGGGGGGAGCGAGCTTTACATTACTTGACGCTTGTTTTTATTTTAGATGTGTTAATTATACACACTTGTCCACAGCCAGGTTTTTATTGCCAGTTCCAGCATTGTTTTGAAGAGATAAACTGCAATCATCTTCTGTTCTTGTTTCTTTTCTTTTTCCTTTTATCCGGAGGGAGCTACTCCCCACCCACGTTTGAAATGGTACTTGCCAATCGAATAATGTGACTTTAACAAAACCCACCGTCTACTCGAGGCCCCATAAAGTGTTTATATTATACAACAGTGTTCGTGGGGAAATAGTGAAAACTAATAACCCCGAAATGTCGGATGATGGGGATTATCTCCCGAGGCAAAGCTTTAAATCTTGAAAACTCGTAATGCACTTTGGAATTATCAACTAAACACAATATAAATCCATTACTAGCAAATTGCAATATCGAATCAAGATACAGGAAGAAAGTTTCCTATCCAGGGCTTACTATTGGAAACGAGGTTGGAAATAAAGTAAGCACTGGGGACGAGGTTGAGTAGAGGGGTTTCATATTTACAACCTAAATATGCCTATTTGTGTAAACCTTGAGCTTATCCATGCATCTCCTAGCAACCTTTTATGTACCACTCAGCCAGCATTAATAGCCATGGCTGCCAAAAAGTAACAGAGTTCACGTTGAGCAAATGCAAGTTCACGTTGAACAAGGGTTCAAGGGCCAATTAAATAAGGAATGATAAATTGGCCTGCACGCTGACCAGCCTTCAAGAGCTGTGGATGATATTATTTACAATATGGCTCCACAAGTTGTGCTGATCACTGGATGCTCGGCGGGGATAGGTCTGGCCACCGCCGTGTGTCTAGCAGCGGAGAAACAACATGAATTCAAGGTGGGCTATTCTTCATTAATATTTCATGTCAACTCAAATGTTGTTTTCGGTTGATGCACTTTCAACGCGTAGGCCTAGTAGCATAGGCCAGCCAAATGGGGAAAAGTTCTCTAGAGAATAATTTCGCGGCATTTTTTGGTAATGGCCGGCGTCCATGCTGGATCAATTCTTTGAACCATAACAATAAGATGTGGGTGGATACCATGGTTACTTTTGACCCTAAAATACCTAATGTGCATACATCTTAAAAACCTGCCGTGTAATATATTTTTGCCTATATATGGTTTTTTAATTTTTTTTTTGATATCTTGAAAATTTTATTTTGGTGATTCTACTGACACATCCAATTTTTATTTTATCCATGTTTAGACGTATTCAAGTCTCCCACGTTAGGCGGCCCTTCGCCAAATTCTAGCCCAGTTTACGGACAGTCAGCTCGTTTTTTCCCCGTTTTGTTTGCTGAGCTAAATATCACAATGTTGTCATTGTTCACATGATTTTCCATAAGGTTTTAATAGGGCAACTGTGCCAGTAAGCAACAGTGAATTTGAAGCTTATCAATACTGAGGTTTGGCAAGACTACTTGATGGTATCTGGAGACAAGGTAAATCCGCGCAATTTTCGGGTATAATAGTAGCCAATTTTGGATCATTACTATGTCCTCATGATTATTCAGTCACATATGCTTAACAAAATGTTATTTAAGTAAGGGTGTGTAAGTAGAATCTCCAAAATAAACTTAAAAAAAAATAATAAAGAATATACCCAAATATGGGAATAAATATATTACACTGCAGGGATTAACAATTTATGCAAATTAGTGGGTCAAAATTAAGGGTGGCATCCACCTACATTTTCTTCTCCATCCTTTGACTGATTGATCTGACATGGTTGCCTGCTATTACCAAAAAATGCCGTCCAAAGTGTAACATTCCACTTTGGCTGGTCCACGATAGTCTTCGGATCTCATCGTTCGTCCTTATAGTTGACGTGGTCGCATGTTGTTTTGTCATAATTGTCTATTTGTGTGGTATTTTTCATAATTATAGGGCTAATATGATGTCCAGTTCACTCTCTGTTTATCCCATCCTGTATCGCACATTGTTGGTGCCCTGTTATGTTGGTTAATTCTGTGATTGGAGTCTTTTCATCTATTTTGTTGGTTTATTTCAATTTGTACAACTGCTATAGTCGGGTTTTTAATTAAATGTTTATCTGAATTCTGTCTGTCTTACACATGTCTTATGAACAATTGATTTTTGTATCATTAATTTATGAATATATTTACTTTGTTTAACATTTGAGGGTTTTTTGTAAGAGACGTGTTCACATACACACATGTAAAAAGCCATGTTTTAGACCAAGTTCCAGCATTGTTTTGAAGGGATAAAGTCCGATGATTTTCCAATTTTTTTCTTTTCTTTTCTCTCTTATCCGGAGGGAGTTACTCCCCCCGCGATACACATGTTTGAGACTGTACATACCAAGGGAATTTTCACGTTTGTGAAATAAACAAAACACATCGACTACTCGGGGCCTTATTATTATATCACCACTCCTGTTCAATATTTTGAAGGTGTACGCAACCATGAGAAATTTGGGGTCAAAGGGCAAGCTGGAAGCTGCAGCAGGTAGCTCCCTTAACAAGACGCTCTTCATCCGGGAACTCGACGTCACCAAGCAGGACACCATCTCGTCCGTCGTTGACGAGATCTTGCGGGAAAATGGGAGAATTGACGTTCTGGGTTAGCAGTATATATTTTGTTTCCTTTGTCTTCATTACATCATCATATCTGCCAAAATTGATCACAAGTGCCAAGTATAAAAAAAAACATTCTTCTTTTATTGACCATTCCCTGTCCTGTGTTTTACTAGTGATTGGCCCCCGGTTCAGACAGGCGTGCTAGAGTTGCGCTGATACAAATTAAAGGCAAAATTTAAATTAAGTACATGAAAGGTTCGACGTCTGAAACAAATAGGAGCGACTAGACGCGCCAGATGGCAAAAGATCGAAGGTTTGAGTCGTTCAGAACGACCCAGGAGCGACTTGGTTTCAGACGTCGCTCAAGTCATGAGCCGAACTCAATACAAAATGTATGTAAATGTATGTAAATAAGTAGTGACCTTCAAAAATAAGGACTGCAGGCGATGTGTTTCATGCGCGACGCAGTGCTTATGATTTAAAAGAAACTCGATGCTCCTTCCTGTCTTTACACGTCTTTCTCATCATGCTCCAGTCAACAATGCTGGCTTCAGTGGTGTTGACGCCATCGACAAGAGATCCATTGAGTGGTGTCAGAGCCTGATGGATACCAACTACTGGGGCGTGGTCAGATGCACCAGGGCCGTGTTACCACCGATGAAGAAGCAGAAATCTGGCCGAATATTGAATGTATCAAGCGTCTCCGGTATCCTAGGTAATATTGTGTTTCTGTTTATTTACGCCATCCAGTCGATCGTTTTTTTCCCCAAGTAACAGTGCGTCAAACACACAGAAAATAAATGCCGAGTCACAAGACTCAATTAGGTGAGCCGTGAATTTGTTCGCGTAGTGACACACTCTTCGACTGAAATGAAATGAGTCAAGTGACTCGGGCTGGAATAATATTTGGGTCTTTTGACTCACTTTGTGTCATAAAAATGAGTCACCATTTAGTCAGTGTAGTGGCACACTGCCATGTGACAGACGAGTCCAATAACTCAGCATGGAATACATGTGAGTTCTGTGACTAACCAAGTGTCTTTTAGCCATAGAGCTATATTAAGTTACTAAAGCGCTAACTCTTCATTCTTGCGCGCGGAGACGCTTTGAAGCCGCTCTGGGCGCAGACATTTTGAATTTATGTGCGTGGATGTAATTTTAAAAGTGTACTCTAAATGCAACGCGCAAGTAGAAGATACGCAAACAACTTCAGCGCGTCATGACGGTTCAATAAACGTCAGGGCGAAAAGCATCTCTGCAGCGGAGGGACGCGCACACGTTGCGTTCCTTGCGTAGAGCAAAATGAAACGCTCATTTGCTGATTGTACAAAATGAAGCGGAACTCCTGAAGAAAAGCAGTGCTCCCGGGAATTATTCTGTCTGAATTTTCGGCCCCGCTGGGCCTTGCGTTTCGGTTTTGGGCGTATCGGCTTCGATGACGCACCGGTATGGAATACAAACGAGTTTCGAGTTTTGCATAGGTTTGTGCACAAACATGGATGCACCCATCAGGCATTACTTTGTACACCGAGTTAGCGCTCTAGTAATTTAATATAGCTCTATATACTTTTAGCTGAGTCCAGTGCAGAACCACTGCGCCCCGGCCGGATTGCATGAATTATCTGTACTTCATTTCAATCTGCGATCAATTGTCTCCGAGGAAGACATTTTACACACATGAGCAGTAATAAAACAACACAACAAGATTTACAAGGAACACATTGTTGATCAGAAAATACGCATACTCGCCCACGCCCAACGGTTTAGGCAAGTTACATCGAGTAACGTTAGACCCAGGCCTGTCACGGCAAACCCTCTTACATATTAGGCTAGGCTATTACAGCAAACAGTGCTTTGCTTGGTAACAGTGAAGACAAAGCTACCGTGACATAGGTAGATTGCATTCAATAATTGACAACACGATTGTAACGTTTTAAGTATGAAAACACCTTAAATCATACTGAAACTGCTATACGGGAGATCAAAGATGGCGATTTGATGCAAACAACGGGTGCTTGCCCGAACGGGCCCGGGGATTTGACACAGTGCTGAGTCACAAATCAAACCAGACTCATTTTGAAGGGATAAGTGAGTCAACGATCAACATTCTGAGTGGCATCATTTGATCATTACAGGTTTTATGTTTTTTGGGGATAATATTGTTCAGCTAAATTTCAGGGTGAAATAACAAATTATGAATCGCATTGAAACGATATATTTCAACATTACCTCAAAATGATTAAACTTCAAATGCCTTCAAATGTCATTTAATACTGATCGAGAGCAATTCTACGTATATAATGATGTAACTTTCAGGCGAAGTTCAAGATCCTTCGAATATGCCTGATTCTTTACATTTTTCTCCGTGCACACCAGGTACCCCTTTCTACGCCACCTACGCGTCTAGTAAATTCGCCGTTGAGGGATTCTCTGAGTCCATCGCGGCAGTGTTGCGTGATGGTTACAATATCAGGTACACATAGTATCTCATGTAAGCCTAGATTATTGTATACAGCACGATACGTCACAAGTGCTATCTTTTGCGTCCTCCTTATAAGATCGAACCAAATGGATACTTACATACAGTTTATATCCACAAAACATTTGCAAAAATGTCGCGTTGCTATACAGGGTGGACCCCCAAAATACGGAACCGCGTACTTCCGCCTCTATGAGACTCAAACAACCTATAACAATGCATGGGGAATTCTGTTAAAAGAAAAAATGATACCAAGATCGCTCGATTCGGTCCAGTAGTTTTTGTTCTAGAGCCTATTTTGTGAAATAATGTTATTTTTTTGAAATCAGGTGTCATTTTGTCCCGATGAATTACTAAACCGCGCCCATCCTAATTTGATAGAGGAGTTTTTGCCCACTAAACCGCGCCCATCCTAATTTGATAGAGGGGATAATTGTCATGAATTAATACCCACATGAAAGATGTGTGCTTCACAAAATAGGCTCTGCAGCAAAAACTACTGGACCGAATCGGGAGATCTTGGTATCACATTTCGTCTAAAAGGATTCTCCATCAATTGGTACAGGTTGTTGAGTCTAAAGGTAGTGGAAGTATGCCGTTGGTTCCGAGTTTTTTTGGGCCACCCTGTATAGCTGATGAACAGACACTGCTGAAACAGAGCACTTGCCCCAAAGTGCTCTATACCCAAGAAATAAGATGATTTTGTCTTGCAGGACTGTCCATCTTGCAGAAAGAAAATATCAGAAAATAAAGTGTGGTTGAAATTCCGGTGAGATTGAAATGTATGTCTGACTTTGCTCGATATATTTCGGTTGATAAAGTCTAAATTACCTTTCCTAAAATAAAATATCAAAACAAATACCATGCAGGTTTGATTAAACTTCTTGTTTGTTCCAATCTGCGATGTTTCAGGGTAAGCATCGTCGAGCCGGGTCCGGTAGTCACCGACCTCATGACCAATCTCGTGACAAACCTGGAGGAGCATGCGGCGGGCTTCAACGACGACAAGCTGAAGGAGATGTACCTGGCCCAGGCTAAGAACATGCAACCCATCGTAGACATGGTGGCCCAGAGCACGAATGAGATAGCCAAGCTGCACCTAGAGATCATACTGAGCGAGAACCCGCACCTGCGGTACCAGACTAGTCCGGCTATGACTAAGATGGTGGCGGACAAGTTGAAGGATCCTACTACGGACGCACTGCTGGATGCGCTCAAACAGTATGGATCCTAGACGAAGGATGTCATCCATTAGCCGTATTGAGATGCGGTGGACACAGCAGGAGGGCGCTGTTTGGTTTGGGTAAAAGGCTCAGCGCCTTCTATTATTGTGTCCGCCATGTCTCAAAAGGCTAATGAATGTATACATTTTTGAAGTAAAGACCGAAGTGGTTGTGATATGATTTTCACCAGTGGGCATAAATTTTGAAGATTTTTTTTTATTTACCTTCTCTTAGATTCCAGCTAAGGCCAAAAAAAAAAGTCTCCGGTTTCTGGTATGGAGCTTGCCCTTAAAAGTGGTGCGGCGACGCGGCTTTTTTTTTTTTTTTACCTGTTTTTTTTTTTTTTTTGGCTTCAAATGTCGGCTGATGACTGCAAATGGTGCCCGACTAAACTTAGTGCAAATATATGGGAGTCCAGAGAGGCCACATAAATCTTATTCTCGATCATAACCCCTTCTAAAAACACGTTAAAATTGTGCAGCAGCAGAATTCCAGTCAAACCAGTGAGTTTGGCGGTTTTGAAACATCATCTTGTATTGAAAAAAAAAATTTTCATTTTGCCGACGCGCATGGATACGGCGACGCGCGCGTATACCAGAAACCGGAGACTTTTTTTTTTTGCCTAAACTGATCAAAAATTAAACCCAGTTTGTTTAGAAAAAGAAAAAGAAAAGAAGGCAAGGCGGTGGTAGTTATACACTGATACTTAAACATCGTGATTTCGCAATGTAGTATGAAAGCAATGTCGTAGTTTTCTTGTGCTCGCTGGGAAGTTTATATTTTCAGTGCACAAATCAAATTCAATATATCTGAATTCAAATCGGTTATATCTCATAATACAGCACCATAGGGACACTTCATAGCATGCACTCAAAGGATGCATGTTTTACAAAGGATAACAAGAAGTGTTTAACATGTGTTCGATTGCAAAACACTGTATTTGCAGCGTGAAAAATGAAACAGATGAAATCACAGCACATTGTACAAGTACAAGGAATTTATGTTGTATATAGCTTGATTTAGTTATAAGAAATTGTTATTAGGTAACACTTTTTAGAATTGTTTTTTTTTCTTACTTTCCTCTTGTTATTGATAACATTATTTTGTCAAAGATGAATATCATTTACACTTTACTTGCGTGTTATTCTCTTGCTTTGAATGGTTTATTCAAACTTTTTAATATGTATGTCTATATAGCTCGTTTCTATCTCTAGAATGTTTACAAAAATATGTTCCTGTCAACTTGTAAGGAAGGTATATTGAAGTATTGAAACGTATTATAGTTTTTAACTATGTAACTGTGTTTGTTTATTTAATTATTTAATACCATCTTTGAATTGTCGCTAGCTGACGTTTACAAACGATATTGAACATGTTATCGTTTTAAGACGTCCCAAACTGCCTTAAGTCTATACTTTAAGCTTACTATTTTAAGCTTAATACATGTACTTGAATCTAAGGTAACACAACCAACATTGCTTACGTCCCACTATAAATATACATAATCGCCTGATTTCCTTTGCAGGATATAGAAACATTATCAGTGAATAAACTAAGTAGGCCTAATGATGGGAAAATCTCAGGATTTTTTTCCGTATGCACCTTAATGGACCTTGCACTTTTCAGTTATCTTCGTACTATGCAGGTAATAAAACTGTAGTTGCCGTATGGAATTTGAATTCCTATGTAATCTGGTCTCGCTTTAATACATTAAATAATACAACCACACGTGCCTTGTCAATGGCCCAAATCTTTCCACTGAAAGTCCGTATCATGTGTAAACATTGAATTGAACCATCTCCTAGTAATCTCCTAGTAAGCACTTACCAGTAAATTCCCGGGGAAAAGCTTTTCCCCGGGAAATATTTACCCCTGCTCGGGAGTAGGGTTAAAGGAGAAATCCCCGGGGTTTAACGTTTTTCCCGGGGAAAAGCAACCAGTGTGAACGTCGGCGGGTTTGAACTTACCCCACCTTTTTCTCCCTGTATCGCATCGCATTTTGCAACACAATATTCAAGTGCTCCGAACTTTTGGAAATAAATCGCAGTGTGCGATGCTAAGGGTGTTCAGTTTGTCGATCTGGCCGTCGCGTGACTGAAATACTCACATTCAGTTCGCGGCGCCTGGAAATGCAACTTTTAGCCTCAAAAACATAACCATTTTCTAGCAACGTTTGAACGAACATGTAGGCATTATCCATGATAATTGTCCAACTGAAAGACTCCTAACTTCGCGTACGCTGCGCCTGGAAAATCTCACCTACTTTTATCCTCCAAAACAGACAACGGTCTATTTTGCTATCCAACAACGTACGTATAGGCATTTTCCATGAAATTTCTCCGATGCACGTGCTGAGCTAGCTGTAGTATAGTACTGCGTCACCAATGTGGATCACACCATTTACTGTAGGGGTGTACCATGTTCTTTTTTTTTTAAACATATACCAGCATTTCCACCGTTCCAAAATTATACAAAATTCTCTTTATGAAGTTCGAAACATTTCAATGATAGAAAATAAGTTCCTCATCATCACAATATAATTTTTGTAAAGAATTTGTTCGAGAAAAGATATAAAACTTTAAAAAGGGTATTAAAAGCACCCCTTTAGTTACGGTATCATTGGATGATCCGTCCATATCATGCATGGCGAATTGCCGTATGTTTTCCGAAGAAAGTTGAGATGGAAAAGTTGATTTTTGACGTTACAAAGTCGTTGCTAAAAATAAAAATTTGATAAGATTGGTAGTAAAAAGAGGCCCGTTTGTTCTTATGGCACGCTCCCGACAATGCATGCGGAACATTTCATCGTACTTCGCCGGTGCGGCCCGGCTCGGAAGAGCGGGTTAATTGGCCGGGCGCCGGGCCGGCTGGGTGTCCGCCGGGATAGGGTAGCAATTCTCGATGTGTATTTCTCAACGTCATATTGTACGAGAAACTGGAAAGTTTTCTCGAAATTAATGGCCGACTGTCCGCCCACAAACTTTTGCACAATTCCCGGGGTTTGATTGCGAGTGTGAAACGACTGTCCATATTCCCGGGAAATAGTGCTCCCGGGAGTTACCAAATGTGTCTAGTGTGAACGGTTGCTGGGGTGTTGGTGGGGTAAAAAAATCCCCAGGAATTCCCCGGGGATTTATTTCCTGGAATTGGCCTCTAAATATGCCTATTTGTGTAAACCTTGAGAGCTCATCCATGTATCTCCTAGCAACCTTTTGTGTACCACTCAGCCAGCATTAATAGCCGTGGCTGCCAAAAAGTAACAAAGTTCACGTTGAGCAAATGCAAGTTCTCTAAAGAATAATTTCACGGAATTTTTGGTAATAGCTGGCATCCATGCTTGATCAATTCTTTGAACCGTAAAAACAAGATATGGGTGGATGCCATCGTTAATATTGACCCTAAATATACCAAATTTGCATAAATCTTTAATACCTGCCGTGTAATATATTTTTGTCCATATATTTTTTTTAATCCATGTCTGGACTTATTCAAGTCTCCAACGTAAGGCGGCCCTTCGCCTAATTTAAGCCCACTTTACGGACAGTCAGCTTGTTTTTTCCCGTTTTGTTTGCTGAGCTAAATATCACAATGTTATCATTGTTCACATGATTTTCCATAAAGTTTTAATAGGGCAACTGTGCCAGTAAGCATCTGTAAATTTTAAGCTCATGGATACTGAGGTTTGGCAAGACTACTTGATGATACCTGGAGACAAGGTAAATGCGCGCAATTTTCGGGTATAATAGTAGCCAGTTTGGATCGTTACTATGTCCTCATGATTATTCAGTCATATATGCTTAAGAAAATGTTATTTAAGTAAGGGTGTGTAAGTAGAATCCCCAAAATAAACTTAAAAAAATAATAAAGAATATTCCCAAGTATGGGAATAAATTTATGAACCTGCAGGGCCATTAACAATTTATGCAAATTGATTATATTTGGGTCACAATATGGGTGGCATCCACTTACAATGTCTTCTCCATCCTTTGACTGATTGATCTGACATGGTTGCCTGCTATTACCAAAAAATGCCGTCCAAAGTGTAATATTCCCGGCTTTTGGCAGGTCCACGATGGTCTTCGGATCTCATTGTTCGTCCTTATAGTACGGTTGACGTGGTCGCATGTTGTTTTGTCATAATTGTCTATTTGTGTGGTATTTTTCATAATTATAGGGCTAATATGATGTCCAGTTCACTCTCTGTTTATCCCATCCTGTATCGCACATGTATTTATTGTTGGTGCCCTGTTATGTTGGTTAATTCTTTGATTGGAGTCTTTGCATCTATTTTGTTGGTTTATTTCAATTTGTACAACTGCTAGTCGGATTTTTAATTAAATGTTGATCTGAATTCTGTCTGTCTTAGACTTGTCTTATGAACAATTGATTTTTGTATCATTAATTTATGATATTTTTACTTTGTTTAACACTTGAGGGCTTTTGTAAGAGATGTATTCATATATTATACACATGTAAATAGCCATGTTTTAGACCAAGTTCCAGCATTGTTTTGAAGAGATAAAGTCCGATGATTTTCTTTTTTTCCCCTTTTCTTTATCCTTTTACCCGGAGGGAGTCCCCCCCCCCCCAGCGATACCCATGTTTGAGACCGACATACCAAGGCAGTTTTTCAAGTTTGTGACAAAACACATCGAATACTCGGGGCCCAATAAAGTGTTATTATTCTTATTATAGAACCACTCCTGTTCAAATTTTTAAAGGTGTATGCAACCATGAGGAATTTGGGGTCAAAGGGCAAGCTGGAAACCGCAGCGTGGGACACTCTCAACAAAACGCTCTTCATCCGGGAACTCGACGTCACAAAGCAGGGCACAATCTCGTCCGTCGTTGACGAGATCTTGCGGGAAAATGGGAGAATTGACGTTCTGGGTTAGCGTTATATACTGTGTTTCCAGTGCCTTCATCATCAGCATCATCATCACACTGGCCTAAGTCGATCACAAGTGCCAAGTATAAAAAAAACCCATTCTTCTTTAATTGACCATCCCCTGTCCTGTGTTTTACTAGTAATTGACTCAGGCGCGGTTCTAGAGCCAATATTTTTGGGGGGCTAGCAGGGTGGATCCAGAATTGTTTTCAAAAATCAATAGGTAGTGGCGGTGGTGGTGTTGGTTGTGGTGAGTTTGTCTTACATACGCAGTGTGGACTTCCGAACAAAAGACGTCCACATAATGTAGGTAGCACCGACGTTGTGTGGACTTACCCCACGTCCACACAGTGTTTCCCCATTTCTGGAAAACAGGTTTAGAGGCATTTTTGGGTTAGGTTTATCTGTAGCAGAATGAAGAGAAACACTAAAGGGAATCATAGAAAAAAAATTGGGTTGAAAGAGTTTTCACAGTTTGAGAAAAATGAGTTTTTTCACTGGTTTTTCTTAACTACACGAAAGCAATGGAAAGTCCACACTAGTCATGTGAAACAAGTATGGGTGTGTGTGTGTGTGTGTGTGTGGGGGGGGGGGGGGGGGGGGGGGGGGGGGGGGGGGGGGGGGGCTCGTGCCATATTTTCAATGGAGAGCGCTGAAAAAATCCTACAATCATGCACACTAAGTGTACAAAATGCACCCTTCTCATGACTATTTATTTAGGGGGAGACCCGTTCGCATGCACGTCACATGCTTACATTTTGCTAGTGCATTTTTTTTCTTTATGGATTTTTTTTTTTTTTTGGGGGGGGGGTTAAATCCCCCCAGCCCTCCCCCCCCCCGTAGAACCGTCACTGAATTGACTCGATTAACATAATGTTCCTTCCTCCCTTTACACGTCTTTCTCATCATGTTCCAGTCAACAATGCTGGCTTCAGTGGTGTTGACGGCATCGACATGAAATCCATTGAGTGGTGTCAGAGCATGATGGATACCAACTACTGGGGCGTGGTCAGAACTACCAGGGCCGTGTTACCAGCGATGAAGAAACAGAAATCCGGCCGAATACTGAATGTATCAAGCGTCACCGGTATCCTAGGTAATAACTATTTCTTTTTATTTACGCCATCCTTTAAGTCGATCGTTTCTCCCCCCCCCCCCAAGTAACAGTGCGTCAAATGCTGAGTCACAAAACTCAATTAGGTGAGTCATGAATTTGTTCGCGTAGTGACACACTCTTCGACTGAAATGAAATGAGTCAAGTGACTCGGGCTGGAATAATATTTGGGTCTTTTGACTCACTTTGTGACTCGTTCATTTAAATGAGTCACCATTTTGTCCGTGTAATGACACACTGCCGTGTGACAGACGAGTCCAATTACTTAGCATGGACTAACCAAGTGTCTTTTAGCTGAGTCCAGTGCTGAACCACTGCGCCCCGGCCGGATTGCATGAATTATCTGTACTTCATTTCAATCTGCGATCAATTGTCTCCGATGAAGACATTTTACACACATGAGCAGTAATAAAAGAACACAACAAGATTTACAGGGAACACATTGTTGATCAGAAAATACGCTTACTCGCCCACGCCCAACAGTTAGGCAAGTTACATCGAGTAACGTTAGACCCAGGCCTGTCACGGCATACCCTCTTACATATTAGGCTAGGCTATTACAGCAAACAGTGCTTTGCTTGGTAACAGTGAAGACAAAGCTACCGTGACATAGGTAGATTGCATTTAATAATTGACAACACGATTGTAACGTTTTGAGTATGAAAACACCTTAAATCATAAACTGCTATACGGGAGAACAAAGATAGCGATTTGATGCGAACAACGGGTGCTTGCCCGAACGGGCCCGGGGATTTGACACAGTGCTGAGTCACAAATCAAACCAGACTCATTTTGAAGGGATATTAGTGAGTCAACGATCAACATTCTGAGTGGTATCATTACAGGTTGTATGTTGTTTGGGGGATAATATTGTTCAGCTAAATTTCAGGGTGAAATAACAAATTATGAATCTAATTGAACGATATATTTCAACATTACCACAAAATGATTAAACTTCAAATGCCTTCAAATGTCATTTAATACTGACCGAGAACAATTCTCTGTATTTAACATATTTCTGTGACGTCACACTAATGTTAAAAGTGTAGATTATTTTCACGAATCTACACTTTACTGTAGATTATTTTGAGAATCTACACTTAACTGTAGATTATTTTAAGAATCCACGGTTTTTGTTGTGAACAATTCCATTTATATTCCCGGCACTGTATAATTCAATGTATAATTCCGGCAGTAAATTTTTCTTTTTTTAAGTTTCAGTCCATTATAATGAAAAGAAAAAGAAATGTTAACTGTACTCAAAAATGTACACATTTTGTTGTTTTTTTCCCGATAGAATTTGACGTGTACCTGATTAATAAATACCCTACTACTTTATTTTTTTTATTTTTCCACAAAATGTTCTTGTTTGATTTTTAATTTGCCGCGCTTATATTTTTAATATAATATACGGTGGCGATTATAAATTTTAACCTAAAGCGCAGTGTTAAATATTCCTCTTTATGTTATTTGCAGTTCCCTTTATTTTTATTTTAAGTCTTATTTTAAATTTTTATATTATTATCTATATGTTAAAAGGAATATACAACATTTGCAAACATCGAAAAATAAAACTACCAAGTTTGTACGAAATACCTTACTAGGAAGTTGGTAAATGACAGTCTAAAGCATCCTGTAACATTATGGCACCTGGTGTGAAGTTATTTTCAAGAAAATGGTATTTTTGTATACATTTCCAACGGTGGTCGGCCGACCACCGTTGGAAAAACCTACTGCTCCAACTTTACCTTTTTTGGTCCAAAATTTTGTTTGCTATTGGTTACATGTTCGTAAACGGGTGCAGGCCAGCTAGACTGGTTCCCTTACCTAACAAGTTTCAGGCATCTATAATTTGATCCATTTTATCTTTAGTGGAGTAAAGGAACCAGACTACTTGAACATTTTTGTTTTTCATGGCTTTTCCAGTATTTTCGAACACAAAACTTCAAACATGTCAGTGTAACAATATTTGATCTTTTATACTAACCCCTCAAATAGTTCATTTCTGAAAATTACAGCAAAAGCCAATGATGTACATTCCCTTTAATGCTGAAATTTCATTAATACTAAAAATTCAATTTTTATTTTTTTGTCTTTAAATTTGCATTATAAAAAAATTAGTGGATACCCCTGGGTTAAAGAATATGTACACATCTTTCATTATCAAAATGACAATCATAAATAGAATGGACGAATAACTAACGAAATTAAATGAAAATTACCCAATCATAAACGTCTCAGAATATATTCCAATGTAATGTATTTTCCTAGCAAAAACATTTCCTGTGGTGAGTGAGATGGGCATATTCCGATGTGTAGCCTACTCCATAAGTATCATGATATCAAGGTAAATAAATGTGGTTCTCGATTGAATGGCCAATGACATGTGGTTCCACAAATCAAAAAGCTCTATGCACAAATGAGTTGCTTGCCAACTTTTTCTTGTGCTTGGCGCTCACATCAATCCCGTAAAAACAGCATCAAAGCATTTTCCGGTATAATCTCCTAGCTGTAACACACAAGCGCGAACTCCATTTGGCTTTGGGAGTAAGGAAAAACAGTGTGCTCGCACTGAACACTTCTGAGCGTGAATGTGTGTGTGTGACTTAGCGTGTTGACAAATGTACTGTGCATTTGATGAATGGAACAAAAGATGTGCACCCGAAGGGTTAACAATAGGTTGACGAGATTGTACGAATCTACCTTATTGACAAATGTGGTAAACCAGGGATCTTATTTGCATAAACTATTGTTGTTTTAAGAAATAGGTTAAGTCAGAGAAAAGTGTCGGAACTGCAAATTCATGCAAGAATGGACTCAGCTTCGCCTCGTCCATTCTTAGCACGAATTTACAGTTCCTCGTACATTCTCTATATCATAATGATGTAACCTTCTGGCGAATTTGAAGATTCTTTGAATAGGCCTTATTCTTTACATTTTTCTCCGTGTACACCAGGTACCCCTTTCTACGCCACCTACGCGTCTAGCAAATTCGCCGTTGAGGGATTCTCTGAGTCCATCGCGGCAGTGTTGCGTGATGGTTTCAATATCAGGTATGCATTTATTGATTATTTGTATAAACACGATACGTCACTGGTGTTCTCATTGTCGTCCTCCTTATAAGATATAAGTATCGAACCAAAGAGATAGTTACATACAGCGTATATCCACAAAACATTTGCAAAAATGTCGCAGTGTTATACAGGGTGCCCCCCCCCCCAAAAAAAAAAACCCCGGAACGGCGTACTTCCGCTTCTATGAGACTCAAACAACCTATACCAATGCATGGGGAATGCTGTTAAAAAAATAATGATACCAAGACCGCCCGATTCGGTGCGGTCCAGTAGTTTTTGTTTTGGAGCCTATTTTGTGAATTAAGGTCATCCGGTGTCATTTTGTCCCGATGAATTACTAAACCGCGCCCATCCTAATTTGATAGAGGGGTTAATTGTCATGAATTAATACCCACATGAAAGATGTGTGCTTCACAAAATAGGCTCTGCAGCAAAAATTACTGGACCGAATCGGGAGATCTTGGTATCATAATTCTTTTAAAAATGAGTTCTCCATCCATTGGTATAGGTGGTTTGTGTCTCAAGGTAGTTGAAGTTTGCTGTTCCGTTCGTCTTGGGCCACCCTTTAAGGCTAATGAATTGACACTGCAGAAATACAGAAATACATGTACAATATACATATATCGCACCTGCCTCGATGTGTTCTCTATCTCATTAGTGAAAGAAATATGATGACTTTGCCTTTGAAAGACTGTCCATCTTGCATAAATAAATATCAGCAAATGCATATGTGGTTGAAATTCCTCTGAGATTGAATTGTGTGTTTGACTTTGCCAAATATATTTCGGTTGATAAAGTCCAAATCACCTATCCTAAAATAAAACTTTTAAAACAGCTCTACTTAGGCCTAAGCACAAAATGTTCTTAAGCACAGAATTTTTTTGCTTAATATAATCAGATTAATCACCAAAACACCATGCAATTGTTATGCTAAGTTAACAACAGCTAAATAACAGTCACAGGCAATGTACATCGCATGGCGTTTTGGACGGTATCCTGATTATATTAAGGTTTTTTGTGCTTAAGCAAATTGTGTGCTTATTATAAGCAGTTCTACGAAATTGGCCCCTGATTTGATTAAACTTCTGGATTGTTCCAATCTCCGATGTTTCAGGGTAAGCATCGTCGAGCCGGGTCCGGTAACCACCGACCTCATGACCAATCTTGTGACAAACCTGGAGGGGCATGCGGCGGGCTTCAACGACGACAAGCTGAAGGAGATGTACCTGGCCCAGGCCAAGAGCATGCAACCCATCGTGGACAGGGTGGCCCAGAACCCGGATGAGATAGCCAAGCTGCACCTAAAGATCATACTGAGCGATAACCCGCACCTGCGGTACCAGACTAGTCCGGCTATGACTACGATGGTGGCGGACAAGTTGAAGGATCCTACTACGGACGCACTGCTGGATGCGCTCAAGGTAGCAGACCAGTAAATAAACTTCCATAGACCCCAATGGTAAATGCTCCCACTTCAGAAATTCGGGAAAAATACTCGCAACTCTCCAAGGTGTTCGAGAAACAAATAAAATTAAAGCTTATTTCATCATCTTTCATTTTCTTTTCAATTTTTTGGGGGTCAACTGATGACTTTTAGGAGAAATTTTCATCTGAAGATGATCACCGGCCTAAAAATAGTCCTGAAGCCCATCGCCATTTTGAAAAACGATGCCTACACTCCATTGCAAAATAGAGCGCTTATAGGGTCCAAATTACATCCAAATTACACAGAACTGCAAGCTCCCAGTCCTGTGCACGGCTTCCACCCATATTTTTTACAAACCCTCAAGTTCATGGCCCACAGCATGCTCAAATACTGAAGATTTTGAGGGCATGCAAATCTTGATTTGGCCGGCGTAGGCAATTTCGGACCGATTTACTGGTCTGCACCCTCAAACAGTACGGATCCCAGACGAAGGATGTCATCCATTAGCCGTATTGAGATGCGGTGGACACAGCAGGAGGGCGCTGTTTGGTTTGGGTAAAAGGCTCAGCGCCTTCTATTTTTGTGTCCGCCATGTCTCAAAAGGCTAATGAATGTATACATTTTTGAAGTAAAGACCGAAGTGGTTGTGATATGATTTTTACCAGTGGGCCTAAATTTTGAAGATTTTTTTTATTTCCCTTCTCTTAGATTCCAGCTAAACTGGACGCACTGCTGGATGCGCTCAAGGTAGCAGACCAGTAAATAAACTTCCATAGACCCCAATGGTAAATGCTCCCACTTCAGAAATTCGGGAAAATACTCTCAACTCTCCAAGGCGTTCGAGACACACATCAAATTAAAGCTTATTTCATCATCTTTCATTTTCTTTTCAATTTTTTGGGAGTCAACTGATAACTTTTAGGAGAAATTTTCATCTGAAGATGATCACCCCTAAAAATAGTCCTGAAGCCCATCGTCATTTTGAAAAACGATGCTTACACTCCATTGCAAAAAAAAAAGCGCTTATAGGGTCCAAATCACATCCAAATTACACAGAACTGCAAGCTCCCAGTCCTGTGCACGGCTTCCACCCATATTTTTTTACAAACCCTCAAGTTCATGGCCCACAGCATGCTCAAATACTGAAGATTTTGAGGGCATGCAAATCTTGATTTGGCCGGCGTAGGCAATTTCGGACCGATTTACTGGTCTGCACCCTCAAACAGTATGGATCCTAGACGAAGGATGTCATCCATTAGCCGTATTGAGATGCGGTGGACACAGCAGGAGGGCGCTGTTTGGTTTGGGTAAAAGGCTCAGCGCCTTCTATTTTTGTGTCCGCCATGTCTCAAAAGGCTAATGAATGTATACATTTTTGAAGTAAAGACCGAAGTGGTTGTGATATGATTTTCACCAGTGGGCCTAAATTTTGAAGATTTTTTTTATTTCCCTTCTCTTAGATTGCAGCTAAACTAATAAAAAATTAAACCCAGTTTGTTTAGAAAAAGAAAAAGAAAAGAAGGCAAGGCGGTGGTAGTTATACAGATACTTAAACATCGTGATTTCGCAATGTAGTATAAAAGCAATGTCGTAGTTTTCTTGTACTTGCTGGTCAGTGCACAGCTTACTTCGTACTCAAATACAATAATATGTGAATTCAAATTGGTTATATTTTTATGATACAGCACCATAGGGACACTTCATAGCATGCACTCAAAAGATGCATGTTTTACAAAGGATAACAAGAAGTGTTTAAAATGTGTTCGATTGCAAAACACTGTTTTTGCAGCGTGAAAAAATGAAACAGATGAAATCACAGCACATTGTACAAGTACAAGGAATTTATGTTGTGTTTAGCTTGATTTAGTAATAAGAAATTGTTATTAGGTAACGCTTTTTAGAATTGCTTTTTTCTTACTTTTCTCTTGTTATTGCTATTTTATTTTGTCAAAGATGAATATCATTTACATTTTACTTACGTGTTATTCTCTTGCTTTGCATAGTTTATTCACACTAAATAATTATGATTATATGCCTCGTTTCTATCTCTAGAATGTTTACAAAAATATGTTCCTGTCAACTGGTAAAAAAAGGTACACTGTTATTTCGGTTGTGTACTAAATGAACCTATCAACCAGTTGTGTAAAATATTGAACAAGTTGTGTAATATTTTACACAAGTTGTGTAATATTTTACACAAGTTGCGTTAACAACAGTTTACACAACAGGTTGCTAGGTTCATATAGTACACAACCGTTTGTTTTTATACAACCGAAATAACAGTGTATATTGAAGTATAGAAACGTATTTTAGTTTTTTAACTATTTAACTGTGTTTGTTTATTCAATTATTTAATAACATCTTTGAATTGTCGCTAGCTGACAAACGATATTGAACATGTTATTGTTTTAAGACGTCCCAAACTGCCTTAAGTCTATACTCTAAGCTTACTATTTTAAGCTTAATACACGTACTTGAATCTAAGTTAACAAACCAACATTGCTTACGTCTCACCATGAATATTCATAATCGCCTGATTCCCTTTGCAGGATATAGAAACATTATCAGTGAATAAACTAAGTAGGCCTAATGAAAAGGGAAAATCTCAGGATTTTTTTCTGTATGCGCCTTAATGGACCTTGCACTTTTCAGTGTTTTTCGTACTATACAGGTTATAAAACTGTAGTTGCCGTATGGAATTTGAATTCCTATGTAATCTGGTCTCGCTTTAATACATTCTATATAATACAACCACACGTAACTTGTCAATGGCCCAAATCTGTCCACTTAAAGTCCGTAACAAATGTAAACATTGAATTGAACCATCTCCTAGTAATCTTTTGTTTCTCACTCAGGATATTACCTGTGCTGCCAAAAAAAGTAACAAAGTACAGGTTGAACAAATACAACTTGGGTTCAAAGTGCAAAACGGACTGATAAATATTATAGGCGTGCACACTGACCAGCCTTCATATAAGGACCGAGCACAATTTGCAAGCACACTTTTCTGCTCATAAGCTGTGCGTGGTATCAATTTAAAATGGCGCCACAAGTTGTGCTGATCACCGGATGCTCGACGGGGATAGGTCTGGCCACCGCCGTGTGTCTAGCAGCGGAGAAACAACATGAATTCAAGGTTAACCATTTCCTTTATTAATGTCATGTTAAGTCACATGTTGTTTTTGGTTGATAGCCTTTCAGTGCGTAGACTTCCATTGTTATCAGGATATATAATTCTATACAGGAGTTAAAGTGTAAATGAGCAATACCGTCAATGGGATTAATTAGAATGTATTTAAAAACCCCTCCTCTAACCCCCAGCTTTTTACGTTATTACGACTGAATTTGATGTCCAAATCTCCCTCAACAAACGATAATGAAATGCTCAAATGGAAATGAGCTAATGAATAACTCAAGTCGACTGATTTAGTGCTGACTCATGCAAAATGCACACTGGGTGATATACAAATACGTGGGTGTTCCGGTTGGGGGGGGGGGGGGGCGTGCAAGCACTTACCAGTATAGCCTGTCGAGAAACCAAGGGCCGTGTGATGAGGGGTGGGGGAGGAGCTAGACCATTTATGTACACATGTTTTAGGCCCCTTTCAAGCATTTTCTATTGTTGAGGAGATTAACCTCAACCATCTTCTGCTCTTTTTTTTTCTTCTTAAATTTTTTTTCCCCTTTTATCCGGAGGGGGTTACTCCCCCCACGATAGGATTCTTGTTTCTTTAACAAAACTCATAGGCCTATGTGAGACAAGGCAAGATCGTCCACCTCATTCTCATTTAGGGTTCATATTCTTATTATAGAGCCACTCATGTTCATATTTTTAAAGGTGTATGCAACCATGAGAAATGTGGGGTCAAAGGGCAAGCTGGAAGCCGCAGCGGGTGACACTCTCAACAAGACGCTCTTCATCCGGGAACTTGACGTCACCAAGCAGGACACCATCTCGTCCCTCGTTGACGAGATCTTGCGGGAAAATGGGAGAATTGACGTTCTGGGTGAGCGATGTACACGTTTTGTGTTTCCCTTGCTCCCCTCGACCAACCGCTCCCCACGGCTGGCTCGTTCGTCTGCTACTCGAGGGGCACTCTCTTCCGCGGCCGCCACCGCCAGGCCGTGGGCTACCCACTCTGCCAGCCGGCCTCCGCCCGCCTCCCCTCTGCCCGGCCAGCGCTCCGGAACTCCCCTTGCGGGCTGCCCACTCCGGCCGACCACGTCTCGGCCGTCTGCTAACCACCGTGTCCGGCGGCACACGCCCCCCCCCCCCCCTGCACTCTGTCCGGCCGAGGCTCTTTGACTCCCCGCGCGGGCAATTCAAACTCACATTTATTTCGATACCAAATGAGAAACATTACGCAGATAACACATAAATAAGTAAATGGAAATATCCAAAAGGTATAAGAGGCGAATGTTTTAGCATCCTAGCTCTAGAAGCCTAGAAGGCTTGTGGCGAGATGCCTTGGGCGGACTAACACAAAACAGAAACAAGAACAAGTACACACGGACAGTTGGACCAAGACAGAACCTTGGCATTAAAATTTACGAATAAACTAGAACAGTGCGTATTGAGAGAGCACAACAACGTTTACTTGGCTTATGAGTTGTAATCAAGACATCATCATAGGCTAGGCCTTAGTCGCTCAGAAGTGGCAAATATGAAATAAATAAAAACAATCTTCTTTCATTGACCATCCCCTGACCTTTCTTTTTACTTGTAACTGACCCGATAAACCTATGTTTCTGCTTGCATTTACATGTCTTTCTCATCATATTCCAGTCAATAATGCTGGCTTCAGTGGTGTTGACGGCATCGACAAGAGATCCATTGAGTGGTGTCAGAGCATGATGGATACCAACTACTGGGGCGTGGTCAGAACCACCAGGGCCGTGTTACCAGCAATGAAGAAACAGAAATCCGGCCGAATACTGAATGTGACAAGCGTCTCCGGTATAATAGGTAATCGTGCTGCTTTTTATTTACGCCATCTTTTAGGTATACATCGCTTCCTTTTCAAGTAACAGTGCCTCAATTAGTCTTCTCTTGGTATGAATGGATACGTGTATCCTCATAAACGTAGTGTGTATTATCGGGTTTGCAAACATATTTGAAACAAAATATTTGTAGATCAGGCTCATAGGCCTACTGTATTGAAATTTGGTCGGAAATGTTAATATTCGGTTTTCTTTCCAGTGACATTGCAAGACGGAATAACTTCGCATTCGGGTTTAATAACTCATTTTATACCTATTTTTGGAGATAATACTGTTCCATGTACGCCAGGCCTATTGCCTCAAACTTGGTAAACTTGGCTTGAAATGGCATTTAATACGTACTGACCGAGAGCATTTCTCTATAATATATTATAATTACTTGACTTTCAGGCGAATTTAAAGATACTTTGAATCGGACTGATGAGTCTTTAAAACATTTTTTTCTCCGTGTACACCAGGTACCCCTTTCTACGCCACCTACGCGTCTAGCAAATTTGCCGTTGAGGGATTCTCCGAGTCCATCGCGGCAGTGTTGCGTGATGGTTACAATATCAGGTATATAATTATCGATGATGTCACCTGTAGTTCTAGATTAATTGTATACAGCACATGATACATCACAGGTTCACAGTGGCGTCCTCCTTATAAGAGATAGGTATAGAAAAAAGAGACATTCAATGATTATAAACACAAAACATTCGCACTATGGGTATGTCGCGGTATACAGGGTGGCGCAAAAAGAAGGAAACCCACTTTTGACAGGAATTTTTACCTACTTACTTAACTTATTTAAACTTTTTATTTAAATAATGTAGTGAAGTATAGCTCTTTAACCATGCATCGTGATTTTTTTTTTTAAATCGCAAGAATAGTGTTATTTTGCTAATTTGAATACAAGTTGTCTGTTTCAATACAAATCACTGTTGTCCACATGTCAGTGTTGTAGTCGAGGACTTTTTTTCCGAGTACCGAGTACTGCCGAGTACTTAGGTTACCGAGTACGAGTACGAGTACTTGTACTACCGAGTACAAGTACAGGTCTCCGAGTACGAGTACTCGTACTTCCGAGTACGAGTACGAGTACGAGTACTTGTACTTCCGAGTACGAGTACTTGTACTGGTATTCCGAGTACGAGTACTTCTATAATTATTTCCTAATACGGCCTTACGGCAAATGATTCATTGTGCGTAATTGGCCTAGGACCAGTCAGACCGATATACAGACCCAACACTCACGGCTGTCTGTTAAATGTGTTTGTCTGGACGTACACAGAAGAAAATCAGGAAACTTCGATTTCTCCGCAAGCCAATCAACCATTTCAAACTGAAAGTATTGATAAAATAAGGCCGTGGTATAAGTCAAGCTATACCAATTTTTTTCGAGTACTGCTTTTCGAGTACGAGTACTCTGAAGATCGAGTACAATTTCGACATGTAGAGTACGAGTACTTTCCTGCCTTAGTACAAGTACCGTCATTTCGAGCACGAATATAACCGTCCGTGGACAAACAGTTTTTTTTATTGGACAAACAGTTTTAAACTACCGTATCTCAGAGACAAAAATGCATTTGCAATCATTTTTTTTCGTCACTTGTGTTTATAGATCATTTTTTTCTCAAAACCATTAATTAAAATTGAATTTTTGAAATATTCTCCACAAGAAGGTGAAAATTGCTGTCAAAAGTGGGTTTCCTTCTGTTTGCTCCACCCCGTATAGTACGCATTGTAGCTGACGAGTGACGCTGCAGAAACACAGACGACATAGTTAAAGATCGCCCGACCTTCCAGGACATAATCGAACCAGTGCCGATATTGCTCTCGCCCCGAAGTGCTCTATATCTCTTAAGTGGAAGAAATAAGATAACTTTGCCTTGAAAGACTGTCCATCTTGCAGAAAGAAAATATCAGAAAATAAAGTGCGATTGAAATTCTTTAATATATGTGTGACTTTACTCGATGTATTTCGGTTGATAATCCAAGTCCAAATTACCTTCCCTAAAATAAAAAAGCTAAAAACAATTTCCAGTTTTGATTACACTTTTCGTAGACAGGTCATAAACATAATGTTCAATATAAGTCGTGATCAAGTCGTCAATTTCTCAAATGATCACAAATCACCACACACAGGACATCACAAGTCAATCTCAAGTCAAGTGACTTTGGCGAAAGTGTTCTCTTGACACTGCACACACGGCCTCTTACCTCATTGACCTGTGATCTGACTTTTGACCAGGCTGACCTGTACCATTGACACTGGTTAGGGTTAGGTGTTATGGTTAAGGTTAACGTTACGGCTAAGTTTAGAGTTATTAGATAACAGTACTTTGTTCCAATCTCTGATGTTCCAGAGTAAGCATCGTCGAGCCGGGTCCGGTAGCTACCGAACTCATGGCCAAACTCGTGGCAAACCAGGAAGGGCACACCGAGGGCTTCGACGACAAGCTGAAGGAGATGTACCTGGCTCGCGCCAAGAACATCCGCCCCCTCCTGAAGGCGGTGACCCAGAGCGCGGATGAGATAGCCAAGCTGCACCTAGAGATCATACTGAGCGAGAACCCTCACCTGCGGTACCAGACTAGTCCGGCTATGAATAAGATGGTGGCTGATAAGTTGAAGGATACTACTACGGACGCACTACTGGATGCGCTCAAACGCTGAGATCCTAGACGAAACATGTCATCTATTTGCCTTTTCGCGATGTGGTGGACACAGTAAATTAGTAAGGGTGCAGGCCAGTAGATAGCCCGAAATTGCCTACGCCGGCCAAATCACGATTTACATGCCCTAAATTCACCGGTATTAGAGCATTTTGAGCACCATGCACTTGAGGGTTTGTAAAAAAAAAAAAAAATAAGGGTGGAAGCCGTTCAGAGGACCTGCTTGATCATGTTTCTATTAAATTCGGATGAAATGTTGCCCTAAATTGCTATATTTTGCAATGGAGCGTAGGCATCCTTTTTCAAAATGGCGATTGGCCTCAGTACTACTTTTAAGAGTGATCATCTTTGGATGAAATTTCTCCCAAAAGTCATTGGTCAACCAATATAACATTGAATAGAAAATGAAAGATGATGAAATAAGCTTTAATTCGATGTGTATCTCAAACACCTTGAAGAGTTGTGAGCATTTTATTAGTAAATTTTGGAAGTGCGCGTAATTGTCACTGAGGACTATGAAAGTCTATTTACTGGTCTGCAACTGTAATAGCGCATGCCTTCATATTGTGTCCGCCATGTTTCGAAAGGCTAATGCGTGTGTTTGAGAAGTGATGGGCAGAGTGTTGCTGTGTGATTCTGAGGATTAGGCCTACATTTGGAAGTCTTTTTATTTACCTTATCCTAGATTCTAGCTAAACTGATCAAAAATTAAACCTATTTTGGGTGAAAAAAAGAGGAAGGCAAGGCAGTGGTAGTTATTACAGATACAACTTTATTTTCCCAAACATCGTGATTTCGCAATGCTTTATAAAAGCATCGTCCTAGTTTTCTTGTACTCGCTTGGATTTTATTTTCCGTACACGGCATACCTCATACTCAGCTACAATAAACCTTTAAACATGCATATTTTACCTGATTATATTTCATATTATATAGCACCATAGGGACATTGTATAGCACCATGAAAAATGAAACAGATGAAATCGCAACATAGATGTTTGTACACCTATTTGCCTTCCACCGCTCATAAATTGTACAAGTACAAGGAATTGCTGTTCTGTTTAACTTGATTAAGTTATAAGAAATAGTTATCGGGTAACTCTTATTAGGTTTTAAAAAAAGGGAGAAGTTTTCCTCTTGTTTTAATAACATTATGCTGTCGAAGATTATGACCACTTACACCATACTTGCGTACCGAGTCCTTGTTAATTTTTTATAGTTTATTCACACTTTCAAATCTTTCTATACCTCGTCCTACCTCGTGGTAGTTTACAAAAGAATGTTCCTGTTAATTTGTAAGGAAGGTTTGAGGTATAGAAACGTATTAAATTTTAGTAAAAAAACCACTTTTTTAAAACTATTTAATTCACACATCTTTAAATTGTTCCTATCTAACGTTTACAAACGATATTCAACATTTATTGTTTTAAGACGTTCAGAACAGCCCCGATGTCTATACATTAAGCTTACTTTAATGCTTCAATCCACGTTAACAACACCAACATTACTGACGTCACACTATGAACATACCTCATTCCCTTTGCAGGGATAGAAAAATGTAAATTACATTAGTGGATAAACTATGGGAAAATCTCAGTAATATTTTCCCGTATGCGCCTTAATAGACAAAGTCCCTTTTCAGTTGTTCGTACTATGCAGGCAATAAAGCTGCCGTTGTCATATGAAATTTGAACTCGTATGAAATCCGGTTTCATTTACCTTACATGGAATACAACCATCACACGTGACTAGTCTCCAAATCTGTTCACTTAGACATGCGCAATACAACAAAAGGGCCCGAATTTCAAAGAGTCCAAATTTCACATTACACCATCAAATAACCTCCAACCAACAGACTTCGCAATTATGTTCGCAAACAGTTTAAAGTACGCGCATCAATAACACACACAAAAAAATCTGAAGAGAAAAGTTCTTGCTATACCAGTATTCTTAAAATAATTACATATTCAACTTTGTAAAAAGTGGAATCGGGAGCGCAGCTGTTTGTGATAAAAGAAAAAGAAAAAAGAAATCATCTTAAAACCATCCCACGACAGACCTTAAACACAGATGGACAAACACGGACTCCAACCAAACAAGACAACTTGCATAGTAGCAAATATAAAACGAAGGTTATAATTACTTGAGTTTAAAAAAAAAAAGAATATACCAAAAACTAATAAAAGCCCTACTTAGCAAAACATGATAAAGATTCTATGGTTTTGAATTTTATTTTTACAAGTTAGGCACGTCTGCAACTCTTCCCTGAGCGTTGGTCTTCCGTTGTTTCTTGTTCTTTTTGCGATGTCGTGTGGCGATTTTCCTCGGTCGATTCGTGGCGCTCGTTGTCGGTCGTCTTTTGTTCTTGGTGCTGGCTTTCTTCTTGGGTTTCTTTTGGGGCCGACCAACCCCCTCGACCTCCTCAGTGGCTGGTTCTTGGCTGGCGGTCTTGAGACAGGGGAAAAAAAGAAATGCTTTAATAAAATATTTCCGTGTAGGAAACAGTGGCGTGAAAGCGGTCAAGTTCGTAAGTGAGGGGTGGGGAGCACTTGGGGACTTATTTTCTGGAGAGGGTTAAAAAGAGGGGCGTTCTTTCCCTAGATTTGCTCATGGGATGGGGAGAATTTAACAAAAATGATATTTTTTTCGACAGCTTTTGAGCTTCCGACAGCTCGAAAATAGTCAGGTTCTGATTTTACGGAGCATGACGGTCAGCAAATGTTCTGACCATATGGTAGCACGCAGGAAAATTCCTGACGTCCTTACTTGACACGTTTGAGATCTCAATTGTCGCATTTCTGGCTCTACTTGGAGCGAAGTCTTCCTCTGGGGTTTTAAACTGTGAACAGTGTTAACCTACTTCTATACTGTCTCCATGAAAGTCGCGAATGTTTCTTCAGCGAAGAGAAAGTTTTGGACTAGACTTTGATTGTTTAAATTTGACATTCACTCTTATCAAAATGACTATGAGAAATTATGCAATTTTGTCACTATGTCATAAAGGGAACTTTTGAATGCAAAGGGTAGTCTAGCTTTAATTGCTCATTGTCGAGATACTATCTACGAATCTGTGAATAGTTGGCCAAACGTTCTCGGGTGTTCCAGAAAAGAAACGGCTTGAACACAGGCTAGATTGCCTCACCTGATCGTTGGGGTCACATGTATTACAGCTGACCTTGCAGAATTTGTGCATGAAGGTCGGGTTTTCTTCACAGTAGCCCCGCTTTGCCCACTTGGCACACTGCTTGTGGATATCTGAACACTCTGAAAAAAGATCGAACAAAATACAGATCGGGATACGTACTTTCCACTCAACATATATTGTGCAAATACACAGTGGCGCACCCTGGGGACCAGGCTACTGTTCTCTTCATATACCAATCTCAGTGAATGACTGACTGTAAAGCCGGGCGGTGCCATCGTGTTGGACAGGGGCGGCGGAACCGGGGGAGCGGAAGGGGGGGGGTGCACCTCCCCCCCCCCCCCCGATTTTCCCAGGCTAACAAAGTGCCCCTCTCGCGGTCATCGATGTGCCCCTCCAGATAAAAAACAAAACCGCCCCTCAAACGCACATACGAAAGCATTAAATGATCACGCTTTCAATTTGTCCCCTCTCTTGTCATAGGCCTATAACTAGTCAAATTCAAGGGCGGACCCAGAGAGGTTACTACCTGTGGTGTGCCAGAGGCCAAAGGGCTCTCTCAAGTGAAAAATTACATAACATTTTGGCTATATTGAGACTATTTCAAAAATAGGCCCACACTGTAATTTTGTGAGTAAGGAATTAAGATTTTTGAAAATTTTAACGCAAACTTTTTAAAAAGTGTTTATCAATGTTGTTAGTAAATTTTGTTCTGGGTAGCATGTATTCCTTGTAATTCCTTCAACATTTTCTCCTGTTTTCACACCGACGGAAAGTGCCTTTTTTTCTGAGCAAGTGCCCCTTTTTGGTGCCCCCCGGCCCCCCCTCTGAAAAGCGTTCCCCCGCCGCTGGTGTTGGGTTAACCTGTAACGCAAATGAAAATGGGCTAAACACATCTATATGTAGACCAGATGCAAGAAAAGACTTCAAGTAAACAGTCAATCTGAATAAACTCAACAGACCTCTTCATAACATGAATGTTGGCACTAGAAAGCAGGAGGTCGTTGGTTCGAGTCCCACCCGAGTGATTTTTTTTCTCGCAATCACTCGGGGGCAACACTGAGTATACAATGTTTATGAAAAGACGTCGGTAAGGGCAAAAACCTATATTGAAACAACTGAACGGACTTGTGTACGCTCTGGTACAAGCTCTACTAGGCTTGCCTAGCCTTGTTATCCAGGCTGAGTTGGTATTACCTGCAGGACCATCTCCACAATTACCGCAGCTCATGGCACACGCCTTGGCCAGGCCCTTGGGGTTGAATAAGCAATCGCCTCTCTTGGCCCATGTCCGGCAACTCGCGTCTTTATCAAAGCAAGCTGGGAGGGGAAAAAGGTAATGAAAATGTGGAATGAGAAGTGTGGAACGGGGAAAGTTTTTTGATGGCATTTTCGTCCTACAAGATTATTGCCAGTTCGGAATTCTGTTACACGTGCATCTACAAATCTAGAGTTGAGATGTTCACATACGGGGAAAACAAAAGAGTCCTTCCCAAAACTTTGTCTTTATTTCCGGGCAACAACTTCTCTTCAATTTCTTTCGCTTCCTTTTTAATTTGTTTATTTTGAAAATCGTTAAATCTAAAAGTGCGCACGCGCAGTAGAAATACCGAACTGCCGTACTAAAACGACTTTCAAAATCTCGACATTAAAAAAATTATGACGAAAGAACCATCCTGAAATGCAAACAAGTATTTTTTGTTGGTTGTTTATTTGTTCATAGTTGTTAGCTTCTTGTTGTTTACATTTACGTTTACATCAATATTGTTCTTTCTTTCATAACAGTTGTCAGTAGGCAAGTAACTTACTGGGACAATATCCGCAGCTTTTCCTGCAATGGTTTTTCATGTAGCGTACATTGACGTGGCAGTTGCCATTTTCAAACCACCTTTGGCAGTGGGGGTGGAAGTCCCGGCATTCACCTGTTTAAGAGGAGTTGATTGAAAGTGTAGATGAGTTGGGCCAAATGTTATGAGGAAACTGCAACAATAGTAGTCGGTGAAGAAAACTTCATTCCGATCTAACCTTGTGTGTTAAAGTTGCATTTAAAGAAATCGCCTTGACCCCACGGGCTATAGTTGCTTCTGCGCTGCAAAGGTATTTTGATTGCAAAATCATGAGTACAACAAAAACCAGTCTGCGTCTGGTACGCTAAATCTGATTGGACGAATCGCTCCGCGCCAACGAGGCGCATGTAAGCCGCGCAGCCATTGGTGCATCGCCGCAAGCTGGCATGCATGACAGTCAAAGTTCACGGCGCAATTCAGCTTTGACAAACTTGTAGAAAAAGAAGACAAAAAATATAAGGTGTAGAAAATCATCGAGATGTTGAAATATGAATCATTGAATGCTGCACGGGTGGCGAAGCATGGAATAGCGGGATCGAGTAGGACAAGAAATGGAGATATATTGAAACATGAAAATGTACAGGAAGCGGGAATGACAAATGATGCATGACGATAGAGTCAAATTAATTGGCGAAAAGTGCAGAAAGATGTAATGCTGGTGGGAGGACTTAGCCAACCTTGATGAACTGATAATTCTGAAACACAAAGACGGAGAAAAAAACTGGGCAAAAGGCCGGATGGTATTTTTTCCCTCACCCAAGTACTTTTTTATTACCCGCTTCGCGTTGGCACTTACATAATCTGACAACTATATCAAAGTAAATATCCTGCCCAACCTTACTCATTCAATCACACAATCTTTCACACAGACGCTCTCCCTCTCCAAAAGAAAACTATTCACGTCAGGTTAATTCATTATTTGAATGTTGAAAATAAATAAATAGACGTAATCCAGTATAAGAAGCCAATACAAAGACTCCAGTAAAACAGCAAAAGTTGCCTTCGAGTCTGTGCAAACCCTCTGCAATCGAATTTTCTACGAATGGCGGTTTAAAAAAAGCTTCAATCTTTTCAACAAACCCTTGCATAATGGGACAGGTTGGCTGCAGGGTCTAGGTGTTGAGGTTCAGATGGGAAACGGACTTTGTCGTGACGCAACCGCGTTTAGCCTGAAATTTACCTAATTTCATAAAATCTTTATGTTACTACAGATTGTTTATAAAGTAATTTGGACCTTATTTAAGGCAAAACTACAACATCTACATGTGATTTTAAGTGGTTATGGTGCACTTCGCGTAATTCTGGGGAATTTGGCAGATTTTTGATGAATCTGACAGATTTTTCAATTGCATTTAGCAGAATTGGGCCATGACAAATACCTAAAACAACTCACTACGTATCTTACGCCTGTACGGTATACTGTACCTCCCGTGGTATTATAATGTGCTGGCGACGCTGATGCGTTCACGGTGGGTGGAGGCGGTAGAGGGGCCCGATCGTAAACTCCGCAAAAGCCGCAGCTGAGCGGACAGTTGGACCTCATCCATCGAGAGTTCTCCCCTTGGCATCCTCCGCCGTCAGCTAGCCTCTTGCAGTGTCTCTGTTGATCCATGCACCCTGCTTCATCAAGAAGGAAATTAATGGTTTTGGACAAAGCCCGAATTGGAGAAAAAGTTTTGTGAAACATGCAACTAATAACAAACATTACCAATTAGACTAAAGCACGCTAAAGTTAATGTTACGGCAAGATCTTGGTTCTGTGCCCTTTGAGAACCCTACAATGCATGTACTTCGCTTGTGCATAACTGAAAATAAAGAAAAAAATCTTTCTCACGTTTGATCATGCAGATGAACGTAAACAAGAGCACAGTAGAAAGTACAGCTTGGCATTTAAGACAAAAGAAATATCAATTACAAATAACGATTAATACAGGCTACTTCGAAAGCATTCACCCACCGTATGGCCCCCAAATGTAAACTGCATGCAAAAATCATCAGCTACTTTCTACAAGAAAAGGATAGAAAATATAAGACTTTTAAACTAAAGGCTGATCGAGTGGGAGGGTAAACAAGACGAATTCGATTGTCAAGCAGAAATGAAAGACAGAAAGAGGTATTTTATTTGATTAATTCACCTTAACATTCAAAAGGCCCTTTACATAATTGCGCAGGGAAGTTTAAAACACGGTGTTTAATACGCAAATTAAAACAAAATCAAAATCTGTGGCTATGACGAAAAGAAACGTTAACAAATTGCGGTGAAGCAAAATACCACGAGATACATCATGGGAAAGTCTGCACAAAGAGATTTACGATTTCGAAAATCATAGCACTGCAAGCGACAATGGGCCTTATTCACGAGTCGGCCATGTTGAATTGAAAGTGAGGTAAAATGTTCACGTTTGGAACTTGCGAAGAGAAATAAAAGCAAGTACATTACTAAGTACTTCAAGTCTGCTTAAATGAATAATTAAAACTTTGAAATTAAACATTACCTAATGTTTTAAGCCAGATTTAAAACAAGAAAGGAAAGTAAAATAAGGCTGCATAAAAAGTCTGGCGCAATCCCATTCAACAGTTCACAATTTATGAAATACATTCAGGGAACACGACAAAAATGGCTACCTCGTGAATAGGGTCTATTGCGTAACAAAAGGATGCGAGTCGGTAATTATAAGAGTGACTTTCACTAAAACAGAAGCTGTTGACAAACCAGCCGACGGCTATTCCGTGTATATACCTGGCACGACTTTCGGTTCATGACATCGCTGGCAGCTTTTACGACAGTAAACGTTCATCCATCCAGGATTGTTTTGACAATCTCCCTTGGCGGCCCAGGCGGAACACCTTAGGTACGAGTCACTGCAGTCTATAAAAGCAACAAAACTAGCACATTTGCAAAAGCCACACATCCGCCAATTTCATTTACTTAATAAGAAATAATCTCAGAATGTATCAAGGTCGGATCGGGGGGGGGGGGGAACAATAGGGACCCCCCCCCAAAAAAAACCCGAACCCAATATTTTTTTAGCGACGTCGCAAAAAAAGCAACTATTGCTACACCACCATGCACCAATGCCATGAAGAGTCCTACTGCCCCCCCCCTTGCTTTTCATATTAAATTTGGGGCGGAAAACTTTTGGACCCACTTTTACGGGGAACCCAAATTTGTTTTGCCCCCACCCCGAATAAAATTGTCTTCTGGATCCGCCCTTGGAATGGATACACATAATGAACAAGCTGTCGGTGGAGTAATAAAACAAAAATAATGACAGTGTTGTTGCAAGATGCGTCGACCAAGACCCTGTATGGCCGAACGTTAAAAGGAAGAAATCTACGAACGGAAACAAGAAGTTTGGAGTGACAGCCCGAATTTTGTTATAATATCACCGGCTGAAATTTGTTTAATTGTTTTGATTTTCATAACAACCAACAACACAGGCCATCTTTTAAAAGAAAGATGTACTCCCCGAGGAAGGGGAAAGAACGAGGTAACATCTTTAATTCATATCCTCCCTCGTTAATGAATACGGTGATTGAAACCTGTTCACCGCGACCGGCCCCATGACACCTCCTTGATTTGCAAATGAACTTGTTTCCTAAAACTGTCTTAAAAATGGCACTTCTCCCGAATCAGCTACAAAGTTACCACAGGGTGACCACAGGTTCGTACCTGGCAGCAGTGTATCCTGGTTCTCACCATAGGGGGTGAGTGGGGGTGGGGGTGGGGGCTTGATGTTACAGTGGGGCCGGGGGTGCATTTAAAACTCGCTAACCATAGTCAGTTATAGGACTAACAAAGTTCAAGTGGGGGCGACTGGGAGGGGGGCGACGATTTTTATTATGGAGGCGTACGTGCGTGCCCCCTCCCCCTCCCCACCCACTGAACTATGTCGCTGGTACCTGGGTGAAGCTCAGCTTCCTCCGGGCAGGCGTCGCAACTCTTCTGGCAATTCTTCTGCATCCACTCGTTGGCGATCCCGCACTCCCCGTTCCCTGCCCAGAGTTTACAGGTGGTGAATCGGTCCGTGCACTGGCGCCGTTTGGTCGTAGGGGCTGCCGGAACAGGGTGAATTAAGAGCAACCAAAAACATAAAGGTCAACAACGACATCAAGACAGAAGTAAAACTAAAATCCCAGAGTTTAAATACTGTTCTTTAAAATGGCACAGTTCTCCAAAGAGTGTAATTTGCAACTAACTGTCGCAACTCACGGGTCTAGTTAGGAAGATTATTTCGTGGCACTATTCCATCATTGGACATCTTGACTTTAACCAATCTGTTTCAGCCTTTAATAAAAGCATTAAAATTTTCCGAGTAATGTTTTAAACGTCACAATTTATACCAAAGTGGTATTTCGTCCTTTTTGTTTTGGGTAATTATTAAAGGATACCTGTGGGACATATTACGTGGTTGCAGACCTCATACTTCATTGGTAGACTAGACAAGTTTATGATCGCTTTTGCAATGGAAAACTAATAAGCATGTTCTGTGCAACTTGTAGTTTGAACCAGGTTGGGAAAAAATGCGCTATGCTTGTTGTTTGTCATTCCTGATTCACCATAATCAGTTGCAACTCCAGCTAGGCCCTATGCAAATCTGTGTCAATTGTCCAACCGTTTCTCAGCCAATTACCTGTCGTCAGCACGGTTGCCATGGGGCAGTAACCGCAACTGATTGGACATTTCACCCTCATCCACTCCTGGTCGTGTTGGCAGTCGCCCTCTTGTGACCAAATGTTGCACAGGCTGTGCCGATCTTCGCAAGCAGGGGTTCCTGTGTTGTGCGTTGTCACGTGTATGTAGTTGCATGTGTATTTGTACCAGCAAGTTTTATAGTTAGGTGTTTTCCTTGTTTTAGTATCTACCAGCCATGCTTGTTAAGTTTGCGGTTTGTTTTTTATGTCTTTTGCGAAACGTACGAAGTACTTGTATAAGGTAGCCTTATTTTTTCTATGTTAACGTAGGCCCACCGATTTCTTGGAACACGTTTTTTTCGATGGGTCTGCTTTCTAAAACAAGCCTTCTTTTTGTACTGGTATGTCCAACACAGCAAACAAAACAGTTCAAACAGTTGAAAATACTTGACGAAACTTTAGGGAGTAGCAAAAAGCGAAAATCAGGAAACGGAAACGGAAAAAAACATGTCGAGCAGCTAGACATTTCTCTTCATTAGGGGAGTGATGTCACTAAAACCACACACATTTAATCCAATCTCTAGTCAGAAACTAAACCAGAAAAGGGTAGGGTAAGAAACGGTCCGTTGACGCGACGCGTCTAACACAGTTTATCTACGGAGCTCCATAGCTGCCATGTGAAATGTCGAGATTGTGAAACTTCGCTCTCTCCTGACTGAGTTATCCTTGAAGTCCATCTCAGTATCCGTAGCCTACATTAAAGGGCTTCTAAAAGGTTCCACATCAATCTGAGTGTTTGTATGTGTTTGCGAATCGTTATTCGTTGTCATTGTGATTTGTAGGCACATAATGAGTGCTTTATCACTCACTATACATAGCAACACAATATTTACTAGGGGCGTTTTGAAATCCTGGTTTCGTTTCCAGCTTTGGCTTCCTCTCTGGCTTCGGAATAATTTTGAAGCAAACCAAACAAAACTGCTATCTAATCGGTCTGGCATTATATTATAGAAAGTAATATTCGTAGAGCAAAACATGGAGCTAGATTGAGCCAAATTCAACCGAGAAGGGGCCCTAAATCCCCCGAAGCCAAACCCGGAGACGAGGCCGACTTTTCAATGACACATGAAGCACGCCACCACTCATTAACCCATGCAAGTTATTCAATAAAATCCATAGATTATTCAAAAAAGGAAACAAAAATAGTCAAACAGTCCTGCGTGAAATAAAAAGAACCAGTCTGCATAGTCACGACATCAAACATCTCTAGGGACTGAAAACAATAACATGAAAACTTACTTTTATTAATTTCTCATGTTTCTGTTCAATCATGGAGATGTGTTCCTTCCTCCATGGTACAATTATGTACTGTCTAACAACTTTCATTCCGACAATTTTTTCCTAATACATGTACATGGATTGACGTGGATTAGGATACGTAGTGTCAATAGCATGGGACTCACCTTTGACCCCTGTGACGCGTTCATCGATACACATGCCGCAGCTCTTCAGGCATCGCTTGTACATAAAGTCGGGCTCCCTGGTACAGCGACCGTTTTCGGCCCATTGGTCACAGCGCTTGTGCTTGTTCTGGCATATCTGGCGGCGGCGGGGAGGCGGCTTCGGGGTACCAGAACCATCTGGACGACATCAAAAGTAGGAACCATTAAATGGATTGCACTGAATTGAAGATTGGCACAAAACTCTCAAGTAAAACGAAATACGGTCCTGAACCCATTGGGTTGTTTCAGGCATGTAACGAAACAATGAGGAGACTCCAAACCATACAAGACTTTGTGCAGTGTTTTTTTAATTTTTAATGGCATTCATGAGAAGTAAAAATCGAGGAAATCAGCAGATCCGAGGAAAAGTTGCATGCCTGCTTTTTGTATCCCTGTGATCGAGGCTTTGGTTATTCAGGGGCGTGACTTCAGGGGATTACTGGGGAAATCACCCGAGGCCTGTCCCCACTGTTTGCCCCCCCCCCCCCCGCCCGGCTACGAACTTTTCTCGTTAAAAATCCACTGAGTGCCTCCTCCAGAAAATGAGGTCCCAAGTGCCACCTTCAAATTTGACACTGGAACCACTGTTGCTTTGCCGTCATTTCTAACCAGTGAAGTAGTGCACCATTGTGAACTTTTTTTGTCGTGAGTTGTGAGTTTCTGTCGGACAAAATGAACCCACATGGTGAGTTGTTTTTCCTCAAATCTGGCAGGTTCGTTATTGAGATGACCCCTCATAGAAAAATATCACATGATCGCGTTTACTTCATCTTTAATTGGAACAAATTCAAGGCTGGGATACTGGGGAGAGTGGATGAAACTGAAGAAAAAGCCTAAGAACACTCAACCTTCAATTTCAACACATTTTGAAAATAATTGTACTGTAATCACCTGCCGTTGTGTCGCCCCATATTTCAACTGTGACCCCAGTCTTGTTTGCGCATCTCCAACAGCTGAGGGCGCAATTCACCAGCATCCACTCCTCGTAGCTTTGGCAGACTCCATGCCTCGCCCAGATGTGACAGAGAGGGTGCAGGTCTCGGCAATCTGGAAGATGCTGTTTATTACATTTTGCTTGCTCGAAATGGCATGCGAGGCAGCGCAAAACTATTCCAAACCAACACGTACAGTGACACTGAACAATACAGACCGATTTGCGCATGTGTCGCCCTCTAGAGGCAAAAAGCTATGAGTTCCTCTAAACAATAATGCTATGCCGTCATCGTCTTGACATTTCACCTCTGCAACCTGATGAACACAAACACACTGAAATGTCCTCCGAAAATCGTAGCTTTGCAAAGGCATTAACATCCGTACCAATCCTGATAGAAAAGGCATTGTAAGGTAACATAGAAAATATACAACATTGGTAAACAGGAGTCAGGAGTCTGTGGAGAACTAAATAAAAAACTTCGTTCTTCCAACTTTTGAGACTCTACAAACGCATGATTAGAACGAATCCCCCAAATTAAATCTGTTACTTTAATCCGTCCCCTCTTGTCTCTCTCTCTGTTTCTCTCTCTCCCTTTCTCTCATCCACTTTGTCTCTCCGAATTCATCTCGTTTATCTTTAGGTGGTGGTCTCTCTCGTGTCTGACATTGTAAGGAACGTTTCATCTTAATGATCTTTGTGCTTTAAGGGAGGAATCACCTGAGTCCTAGCTTTAATGAATGGGTGGTATGGCTTTGCAACGGCAGAGGGGACAAGTGAGAAGCAGCTATAGAAACAGAAGCGATGATAAGGGAAGAATTGGCAGCGTGAGAATATGAAAATAGAATTACTGCCACATTGGCAGAACAGGCAAGATGTACCATTGGAATGTCTAGTATGGTGATGAATATATGAACGTGAAGTAGGAAATGGGTCAGAGCTTTGCTTTGAAGTTTACAACATCCGAATCAGGTCTGATAAATATCTCGAGTGGCAAAAGCAAAGCTGTAGGTCCGATATTACCAACCATGTCCTAGATTTTACAAATCATCAATAACAATTCATTTCAAACAGCACTTTCCGAGTCCAAAGTAGGAATCGAAGCGAAGAACCAAGGCTCTGGAATGAAAAACCTCAGTCGTAGAAGAAAACGTGTTCACCCATGGCGTGGGGTGACCTAGATTGGGGTCGGGGGGGGGGAGGGCTGAGATTGGTGGTGGCTCTGTTAGGGGTGGGTGGGGTGAGGGCTCGGCTACATACCTCCGTCGCCGACGTTATGATCCCTATCTGTTTCGATGCAAACCGCGCAACTCTTCCTACATGTCTTTTTCATGTACTCTGGATTATTGTAACATTCACCCATCTGGGCCCACTCGGTGCATAGCGTACTGTCGTCGTAACATTCTGTCATAAAAATCAAAAGGTAAAGGATACCATTGCTTCATTTTGATAAAGAATTTAAAAGCAAGATCGGCAATACGCGCATGTACGTGTCATTCACTGTGATCTGAATTTAACTGCCGAGTCATGGAAGCGCTGAGAAGTAATATAAACTAAAACCAGAAGCCGCAGTGGCAACTAAATGCTGGTCTTAATGTTGATGGGTTTTACTTGGTAACCATTGCCATTTAATGACTTGAAAGTTCCCCTCGTTTACCTTTTCTTTTTAAAAATAAACTTGCCTAAAGCAAAAACGGTATGTGCACATACAAAAGTGCGTTTAAACCTTTTGGTCCAATTCACGTGACCCTCCCGTTAAAGAGATCACACGTGAATGACTGCACTATATCAAAGTTGCAAAGAGCTCCAACTAATGAGAAATATCCGAACCAGCTTTTGGTTGCGACCACCGCCCCAACACGCCCTTGCCCTCACTGTTGGACACGAAGCGCCATATTGTTCTTGCACGTCAAATCTGTACCCACCTCTTCTGGAATGGATATCGTTGGGCGCCTTGCAGTATCCGCAGCTCAGCTTGCAGTTGTAGCCCATGAAATCCGGATTGCGGTCGCATTCGTCCTGTGAGGACCACTTCTCGCAGCTATTGGAATAGTCTCTGCAATCTGAGGATCGGAGAGTCATGTCGAAATTTGACAAATAACGACGTTTTGTATCTTTCTGCATAAAGGTTGCAAACCTTTCTATAAATACTTAACATTAGGTTTTGGCCTTCATCAAAGTAATTCTGTTAGTAGTTTTGATTCCCAGATCGTGTGAGAAAAAAAACCCAGCTGGTTACGATCACGTAAGGTTACGAATTTTGTCGTCACTATAATAGACGTCCGGCCTTTGTTTTTCGAGAGCATTCTACGATCCGAGAGCGCAGGATCTGGATTTCGTTCCTCATTCATATCCCAGAATTTTCTCTGAAGTTAGATTTTTTTTTTAATTTACGATGTCAGCGGCTTAAATGCTGACTTAAAGTAGGCCTACTATGGCTCAAGGTTTATGATTTTGGATATCTGGCATGGGGGACTTGGGCTCAGTATCGGGTCTATTTTGATGCTCGTGGGTATCAAATCATTGAATGTTTAGAATATCTCAAATAGGTACCAGCATTGAAAAACTTCTAAATAATTCTAGGTCAGAACATGAACCAAACCGCAGACAAACCCGATGTTTCATGAATGGCTATCCCAGAAGGCTGACTGGCCAGCCGATTTGTTTTTGGATCATGCGCACTCACCTCCTCCTGCGTAGTCGGCCTTGTTGCAACTCTCACAGCTGAAGGGACAGTACTTTTGCATCCATACACTGCTACGTCGACACTCGTCCATGATGGCCCACGTAGGACAGTTATCCTTGTCTGTATCATAGCACGCTGGTATATGGGAGACAAATCCATAACCTTTATTGCAATTCACGAATTACAAATGGAAAATGCAAACAGTTGGTGTAGCACAACAGACATATGCAGGGATTTAGCCTTTTATGATACAAGCATGGCATTTGGCAGTTTATTGGCACACGTTCAGAGTGTGTCATGAGACAGATATTTGGCTATATGGCCATCGCAGATTTGTCCTTTGAAAAAAATATATGGCAGCCATTTTTGAAAATTGTTAAAATTGCTTGTTATTCTACCTATTTTTTTTTCAAAGGACAAAATATTAATCTGCGATGGCCCTACAGCCAAATATTTTTTATTGACATTCTCTGACTCTGACTGTGCACCAAATGTTATGCAAGCTTGTATATCAAAGGCACAATTCCCCCACATATTTCCCTATCTGCCCAATTAGTGGCGTAATAAGATAACATAGTGAGAATAAAACAATTCAAAGGTAAATTGCGACTTGACACAGCTTAAGTTGAAATTTCGCAACCGGAACAGACATGTCAGAAAAGTATGGACGGCTTGTATGGAGCTTAGCTCTAATAAGGCGTTTAAGTTGGATTCTATATACTATTATAAGCCTATTCCATCCTCATATTAAGAGTGTTGTTTTGTCAACTTATTACAGGAATGGTTATAACAAAATATTTAATATGACTCTACCGCAAGAAAATGGGCAGTAAGTTTTCAGTTGTTTTTCTGAGCTTATCCTATCAACTTGGCTAAACCTTCAACAGATTTATTTATAAACATCCCTCGTAATATAATGTGTGCTCTTGTGATTAAAGTGAAATTGCAGTGTTCATAATGATCTCTAGAAAAGGGTTAGAACAAAAGAAAAGAAAGGAGAATGTTTTCTTTACCCCCGCATCTGTACAAGGCTGTAATGCGGTAGACATCGACGTAGCTGAAATCGTTCCTTGTTCCCGGCTCCTCGTAGGTAGGGTATATAGTGCCGATAGTCTGGCCTCCGTTCTTGCTGAAGGCGTAAGTCGGGTAGTGCATAAGGGACAGGTAGTCGTAGCCCGTATCTAGCAGCGTGACGTCACGGCGCGAATACTTGGCGAAATTGTCCCACATCTCTGACGAGAAAATGGACATGAAGATAGAAAACGGTCAAAGTTAGCATGGGCTGGGGGACACTCTGGTGTAAAATCGTTCAAGAACTATTGCTAACGATCATTCTAATTTCACCGTTTGACCAGTCTAGTCGACTGTTCAGGACCAGCCTACCCAGGTTGAATGCGTCACTGATTAGCCGACTAATAATCGGTGCACAAGTATATAATAATTATAATGATGTCGTGCTCATATAGCGCTTTAAAATTAAGGTCTCAAAACGCTTCACAATTAACCCGTGTTCATCAGGCCATGAGACCAGTTTTTGCAGCAGCTCGAGATGAGCGCAACTGCTGGTGTCTCACCTTCACAGGCATACTCTTGGGTGCTGAGAGGCAATTGTAGTAAAGTGTCTCGTCCAAGAACACAAGCACCATGTTCCCCGTCAGGGTTCAAACTCACGTACCACGGCACGTTAGTCGAACACCGTAACCACTGGACCACGGCGCCCCATGGGATGTGACAAGTACCCCCTCAACGGTGAAACTGAGCCTGAAGGACCATCGGGTACAATTTGCCACGCACGTGCTGACAATACACGATTCAGGCCTATAAATCGGCGAACAAATAAAAACTATTTATGCCAAAGCCCCATATCCTCAAGTCTGAATTTCGTAAATCGAATTCGATTTTTAAGGTTGAACCTAAAGCCCCAGTAATGCTACCTATAGGGCTTACTTTTGTCGATGTTCTGCCAGTACATGACCACGTAGTTGTCCCTGTCAGGCCGATTGTGCTCATGTCTGAAACCCAAGGCGTGCATCAACTCATGGATGATCGTCCCTCGGCTGTTCTTGCAGGTACCGCCAATCGAAACCGTCTGGCGTCCACCTCGCCGGCCAATCATCGACCAGCACCTGATGAATATTCACGAACAAAGCCTGATAAAAATACCCGACACACAGCCGTAATTTTAATTAAACAATGCTGAATATCAACTTCATTACAGTGGTTTTCAAAAGCTTTTTTATGCAGAGTGTACAGTCTAAATGCTAGGTATAGGCCTAAGTCTATCAGCTGCTGCTTTAATGACTGAAACCTTTTCATTTAAAAGTCAGTTTACGAAAAAGCGCCCAAAATGAACAGGTCCACAGAGTATTAAATTAGGTATTCAGAATAGACCAAATTTATATTTAGCGAAATTTTGCGAGACATCTGTATCTTTACCCTCAGATTGTGACCAATCGTGTATTATGTTATCTCCGATAGGACAGCTTTCTCGTCGATTCTCAGAAATGGCTCCGATTGGTGAACATGCGGGTTGCATATAAAATGTGCATATATAATTTGCATAAATACATAATTTGCATACATACATACTCAGACGTCCGTTCGAAGCGGAAACCAAGTTGCGAACGGAGAACTTTGGAAAAAGTTTAGAACTTTAGAGCTGCCAAAGTTTAGAACTTTGGAAAAATTTGATACAAGGAGAACAAAACAAAAGAGGTAAATTTACCCTTCACCCTCTGTGATCACAATGTAATCTCGTTCAATTGTCCTGGGACGGAATTGAATACAGGTTTTCTCGTGAAATCGTTGCATGGCTGAGAGGATGTACAATCTTTGATCATTTGCTGAAAAGGAACAAACAATTTTTTTAGTAGAAATCAAAACATGTGTTTGTCCCGTTTATTGCTTGTGTTTGTTGCAACGATATAAAAAACTAAAAACATGTAAGGAATTATATTAATCAAGCAAATTGGTCTTTGTAAAAAAAACGAGCTAACCCCTTTGGACAATCCTGTTTTCGCTGGGTGTAGTGTCTCGGGGAGGGGGGGGGGGGGACAGAAGCAGGTATATTTCTGCATGGCTCTGGTCAACAGTATACATTTTCCGGCGTGGAATAGAACAAAATTCCAATACTGGAACGAAAACGAGTCTCATGTGCAAAACAAATTCGTCTTTGCAGTTGTCATCGAGAAGGCTGCTAACGACTATTAGAGCAGATTAAATTTGTCTAATCGGGATTTTATAGGATGGTCTTAGCTTGCCAAGGAAGCTGTCTCACAGCAAACCAAGCAAAGGGCCCCGGGCAAGGGTGTCCCATAATGTAGTTCAGGTTCAACCCATCGAGGACAAGGCTGTTCAATGACTTCACCAAAAAAATGTCACTTTCATCTCCCCGGGTCTCCCAAAATACGCTGTTTCAGATCACCACCTGTCCCTGTGACAGCCTTTTCACTTTAAACTAATTGAACACGGAAACATTGAACCGTCTACCTTTAACAGAGAAGGGATATCAGTGATGAGTGGGTTACCGGTGCAGGGGGGACTGCCACGCCTGCTGAACATGTGGCACAGGGCGGACGTGCAAGGACTTGTCAAACTTTGTCGTTGACAAAGCTTACCTTCACCAGTACGATTTTTCTGTCCCCAAACCTTAACTTGCTCCAGGGCCTTTTTTTCTTTTCCAAAATCAGGGATTGTTCTAAACCCCTAGCCTATATGTTCAGGAACAGGGAATCGGTTGAAGGGCCTAATAATAATATTGCTTGTTGGAATTGGTTGCCGTTATGAGATGCTGCGTTTCAAGTTTCCAGAACATTTTAAATATTCTAGGTCCTACTAAGGGTACTTGGAATAACTTATTGTAAGCTTTAAAAAGTTGAATCAGTTGATGTTAAACAACCATAACAAAGCATGCAGTGTACGCATCATTTTTGTTATTGTGAAAATAAGAGCCAGATGACTATGGCGCCCTCAATCGTCTGCTTTCATAAACGTCTGTCAAGTCACTTACTGAAGTAGCCGTCAATCATGTATGGTACGATGCCTCCTGGCCATAGTCTCCTCCTGTCCGTTATGGCGTTCCGACGTTTCTGTTGGCGAAGATCATTAAAGGGAATATACAACATTTGCAAACATCGAAAAACAAAACTACCGATTTTTTTTACGAAAAACCTTACTAGGATGTTGGTAAATGACAGTCTCAAGCATCCTGTAAAATTATGGCACCAGGTGTGAAGTCATTTTCAAGAAAAGTGGTATTTTGTATAAATTTCCAACGGCGGTCGGCCGACCACCGTTGGAAAAACCTGTTTTCCAACTACTGCTCCAAATTTATCATCTTTTTTTTCAGTCCAACTGTCCAAATTTTGTTTGCTATTGGTTACATGTTCATGAACGGGTACAGGCCAGTTAGACTGGTTCCATTACCTTGCAATTTTCCGGCATCTATAAATTGATCCATTTCATCTTTAGTGAAGTCAGGGAACCAGACTACTTGAACACTTTTGTTTTTCTTGGTTTTTCCAGCATTTTCGAACACAAAACTTCAAACATGACAGTTTAACAATATTTGATCTGTTATACTAACCCCGCAAAATAGTTCATTTCTGAAAATTACAGCAAAAGCCAATGATGTACATTCCCTTTAATACGGGATTTTTTTTTTTACTATGATAGGGTCCAAATATACGTATGTAAATGGGGGCATGTTAGCCGGCGTTCGTTCGTTATTCCAATCGCCCCATCCAAGTTCTGAAGATCTGTTTTGGATAGCCAGTTACCTGAGGACAGCACTGGAGTTTGCACGATCCGTGCGCATGAAATGCAAGCACATGGCATTACCACCTATCCACAGTGCTTTGCTACGCCATCGTTTCCTGTAGGGTGCAGGTCAGTAAATAGGCCCGAAATTGCCTAATCGCTAAATCGCGATTTGTGTGCCCTCAAATTCTCCGCTATTAGAGCATTTTGATTTTTGAGGGCCATGAACTTGAGAGTTTGTAAAAAAAAAAAGGGGGGGGGGAGCCATGAAATTAGGCCCTCATTGCTATATTTTACCATGAAGCTTAGGCATCCTTTTTTAAAAAATGGCGATGGGCTTTAGGACTACTTTTAGGGGTGATCATCTTTGGATGAAATTTTCTCCCAAAAGTCATCGGTTAACCCCCAAAAAATTGAACAGAAAGTGAAAAATTATGAAATAAGCTTCAATTTGATGTGTGTCTCAAACACCTTGGAGAGTCGTGAGTAAAATGCACGTCTTTAAAAAAAAATAGGTCTCAGACAATAAAGAAACTAACGAATCCTTCAATATTTGGGACATAGCGATGAAGACAATTTGCGTTCCCAACAGACCTTAAAATCAAATGAGCAAAACAAAACTTGTATACTTCAACAAATGACATCTGACTCTTTTCCCCGCTCTCGATTGCTTCACCTAACCTTGACAATACGGAAATCGCCCACTCAAAAAAACCCCCAAAACCCGGCCTAATTTTAGAGCTTGTGTTTTGGCACCCAGCCTATCGGCTTGGTTTGTTAATCTGACTTTTAAGCACAAGTATCATCTTTACCGCACCGCAGCTAAAAATAGTACCGGGGAAACCTCGCTCCACACCGCCGGCCCATCGGGCGTTGCTTGCACTACCCACGGAATGGTGGGGGGAGCTAAAGTTGCTGTCATTTATGATTGCTGCCAGGATAAGCTGGCCCAGAAACTAATTTTAGTCGCATTTCTTTTGGCGCTCTGGGCCAATTTTATATTAGGTTTGTCTCGTCTTATTATTTACACTGACCCTTGTTTGATTGGCTGTAGGGTCGTAGATATCACTGTCTACGATAAAATGACTCTTCGTTCCCTCGGCCATATCTGTGAGGGAAAAATTAACAACAATTTATATATGACTGCAACTTTGATGGGATGAAACAATCGCATTTTATACAGTTTTTTTTTGTCACAATAATTTAGCTCTGTGTAAGCGGTGGATCAATAGGGTATTCTGGAGGGAGGTCGCACCGAGTTCAAACCCCGCTCCAATCAATTTCTTCGTTCAACTGTCTAATAATGGATTCTTTATAAGTAAACTTGAATTGTACATTTCAGTGGAACATCTTTTACCTGATGGGGTGACAGATCGAAAATAGCATCACACAATATGGAGAACATCGGCTGATTATTTTTACTTCAGCAATCAAAACATCACCAATATTTATGCAATTATAGAAAAGTTGTACTGTCACACGTTAAAGTAAACATATGTTCACAAATTGACTTAGGAAATTCAATGAGCGAAGAAGAAAAGAAGATATATATGAAAGTAGTTCTGTTTACATCTGAGGTATTACTGAATAAATACACAGGCTGACAAAGTGTCACAGTTACCTTCAAAGAGTGGCTCGTTCTGTTCTATGATGGTTTCCATGGCATCTGGGCCAGCATCCATTGCTTAAAAATAACATGAAACATGACATATTACTTTCACGTTGGAATTTGGCCTGGAGGATGTAGTCTGATCATCTTAAGTTCGATAATAAGGGTCGTCAGGCGAAAATTCATCCATCAGCCATAGCCGTATAGCTATGATAAACTCAGAAAAAAACTATATTGTCAATTTCAGTCAAGATAAGGAAGAAGCATGTGTTTAAATATGGAAATGATATTGATTGATGGAATCCGGTAACGAATCTCTCTCGATATTTTACGATTTTTTGCCGATAAATACTATACCATTTTTCTTTGAGGTAATTTTTGAGGTACGGTATCACGGCACATAAACACACACGCGTGAGGCCCCGTTCAACGAGACCGTACTCATGAAAAGAATCATATAAAACTGCGGTCATAAAATAACACCTTATATGGTTCTGCAAGGATACCACATAGTCCGTTCCGCTGCTCTGCGGTTATTGTAACGCTGCATTTTTTTTTCGTCGGTGCGTGTCCCTACGTGACTGTTCAAATCATTGACTTGACCACTCCGTCCTTCCTAAAACACCTGTCTTCTATCTGGATTAAGCGGTGGATAATCCCCGAGGTCCAATCAATTTGATCTGAGTAAACATCGTCCCAGGAATGGTCAGCATTTTAATTGATATTCCAATCCAGGGACGATGATATCACCATTCCATCGGACCAAGGACGAAGACGATGACAGACGGCTCCGGCCAGACAGCTTGAGGACAAGGGCAATGGGATTTGACAGCTCGGGAAATTTCCGAAATTCAGTGCTTGGTCAATGTACACAGTTCGATATCTAGCAGGTTTGTGGCGGGAGTAGCTCTTGGTAATCATTTTTTTGGGGGGCTAACCTTTTGGGGGACTTTTTCCCACAAGTATTAATACTTGAACGTTTTTGCTGAATTTATGAAACTCGCCGCAAACAGTCGCGTACTGCTGCCCACCCCGCACAATCTTGCAAGGGCGGATCCAGAGCACAATCTTTTGGGGGTCAAAACATTTTTGTGGTCGCCCAAAAAGTGGGTCCAAAAAATTACGGCGTGGGGTTCGGGGCCCGCTTAAGGGCACCGATGTTTTTGTGGATTGTAGATGCTCTGTGTTGCGATCTGAGGCAATTTCTGACCACTTTAACCAAACCAAATTTTTTTTGAGGAAAAGGTGGTGGCGTACGCAGTGCCTGCCTTTATTGCGACGTCACTTTAAAAAAAGAAAAAAGAAATTGGGTTCTTTTTTGGGGGGTGGGTATGACCCCCGTTGCCCCCCCCCCCTCACCTGGATCCGCCCTTGCAATCTTGGGAATCTCATGTTGCAAAAGGAGGACTATAATTATGGCTATAATCCTTTTAAAGCCCGGTCAGTGTCTCTTATTGAACGGATAACCTCTTAATTACGATAAAACTTAAATTTATATTGCGAGTATTGCTGAATCATTCACTTACTCTGTGGTGCTGGGGGGCCAACAATGACTCCACTCTGCAAAAAAAAAAAAAAATTACATAAAAACGTTTTTAATTAGAATCTCAAAATTGAGAAGTAAAGTTTACATAATGAACGAGAAAGGAGCGACCCTGCAAAAACTGCAGTGTATAATAAACACCATGCTGTCTTTAGTGGATTTGCGATTCTGTGTTATATAGGCCCCATAGTTCATTTAATTCAGAACCGGAGTTTTGGCAGTATTATCTCGACAAATTTCATTAGGTGACAACTCACACTCACAAGTCATATATCCTCTTAAATAATAAAGCCAGAAATAATGTGTGTAAAATGTGTCACTGGTACCGAGCTAAGTTCTCCAGGGCAGGTGCGGCTTGGACGTGTGGGAGGGGGGGGGGGGCGTGAGCAAGGTGAGGAATTTCCATAATTAGTCCTAATGAATTTCATCCAGCCCTCTTAAATCTTTATAAAGCACAAATACAAAGCATATCTCCTCAAAATGCTGTAGACAATCAAATATCACGCTTCTTTTTTAAATATTTGAAATACAGATGTTTTAGTCACTGTTGTGTGCGCTTTCTAATTTGATCAATGACAGAAGCTACAAGACTTCGATTCGAACAAAATGGGATTTGCAGAACAATTTCGCTCGGCGATTTATGTCTGTTCTCGCAATCAATGGTAAACATATCCCTCCGCCTTCGTCATAGTCTCCTGTGATAATTGGCTTCGTCGTGATGGACTTATTTCAATCGTTGGAAAAGAAGGCCAACCCATGGAGAAATGGTTAACCGTATTCCACAACAATCCTACTTATTCCTCCCCATGTGGTGAGCATTTGCGTCCTGGCATTCCGGAAAACCATCAGAGGTGGCTTTTTATGGAAACTGATGCGAAAACGTTTTGCCGTGGAATCCAACCGCTTCATTTGCTGGGCGGAGGCAGAGTCACGGCGCGGTGTGACGGCACAATAACTCAGTTTCTCCTGACTTCACTTGATCGGACTTTACTTTAATTCAATTTAATTTGGCGTCTTTCGACATACCAACTCAATTTACATTACGATGACATACAAAATAGGTTCAGGGTATTTGCTAACACTATGAAAGTGCTAGAGGATATACCTCAATCAAAGCAAGATTGCCAAATACCCACTTTCTATCGAGTAGAACAGTTCAAGTTGTACGATGGTCAAAATAATGTCATGCCATCGAAATGTTAATATCATGCCATGAAAAGCATTCGACTTTCCTCCCAGAGACACACACCAGACATTGAAATTCTGGAGTGTTTGTATACACTGTATTTTTGAAACTGTGAATATTTGAGCAAAATGTATCCACATGGTTTGCATTTATGGGCGTCTTAAAAAAAACAAAGGGATATAGTACTAGGCCGCAACTCGTACTGTTGACTTTGGACTGGATTGGGATCAGTGGTGGATCTAGATAGGGCTCTTTTGTTGGGGGAGGGGCGGGGTTGTACCCCCTCCCATGCAGCTGACGTGTATGATACAATATTAAAATGGGGCCACAACTAATAAGTGGAATGCTCAAGATCCTAAATTTACTCTCGAATTGCATTAGAATTCAGGAGAAAGCATCGCATCTTACGGGGTGGGGTGGGGTGGGGGAGGGGGATGGCACAGGACGTTCCGGTATCATGCCCCGACCCCCAGGAGGGGTTGCCTTTGGCCACTTTCACTCAACACCCCCCACACTTTTTTTCATTTCAATCCCCCGTTTCCTGAAAGCTGGATCCGCCCATGTCGATGAGCAATATCTTAATTAGAGCTGTCACCCGCGTGAGAAAAATATTATGAAGAAAAAGTTAACTTTGGTTAAAATGTATACGCAGTGCGGTGAATTGTCAAAGGGAATGTACATCATTGGCTTTCGCTGTAATTTTCAGAAATGAACTATTTGGTGGGTTAGTATAAATAGACCAAATATTGTTACACTGACATATTTGAAGTTTTGTGTTCAAAAATGCTGGAAAAACCAAGAAAAACAAAAATGTTTAAGTAGTCTGGTTCCCTGACTCCACTAAAGATGAAATGGATCAATTTATAGATGCCAGAAGATTGTAAGGTAAGGGAACCAGTCTAGCTGGCCTGCACCCGTTCATGAACATGTAACCAATAGCAAACACAATTTGGACTAAAACAAATGGTAAATTTGGAGCAGTAGTTGAAAAATAGTTAGGTTTTTCCTACGGTGGTCGGCCGACCACCGTTGGAAATGTATACAAAAATACAATTTTCTTGAAAATGACTTCACAACAGGTGCCATAACTTTACAGGATGCTTTAGACTGTCATTTACCAACATCCTAGTAAGTTGTTTCGTAAAAACTTGGTAGTTTTATTTTTCGATGTTTGCAAATGTTGTATTTTCCCTTTAAGGGCATCGCCACTAGTGTTTCCCGCCCGAAAAAAAGGAACAAGACTGTCCTTCCCTTCGGATGTTTATTTGGACAAGTTCGTCAACTGAAGCATTAATTTATTCCTCCGTGACTGTAGGGACACTCTTCCCCTTCCGCCAATTTTCAGATCATTGACACTGAATTCCGGAGGTACTTTTGGATATTCCATGACGCCTATCAAAGCTAATGTGCACTAGGTATTTACACAGGTGGATTTGTCCATTCACTAAACACTTCAGGCGTAAGATTTGGCAGACATCTCGGTAATGTTTATCTGATAATGTTCTGCACTGAACCTTAATGTCCATTTCATACGTGACTAGACTGTGACTGAGCACCAGGTTCCACTGCTCATTGCCCCAAACAACCTTTCGATGACGAGCACTATCTCGGATTATCCAAGGAACAATCTGCCACGTTTGCAATTTCTTTGTTTTCCCTCTACAACGGTTGACACATTTTGGGTCTTACCCAAAAAAAAGTGCAATGCACTTGATATGATGACATGGACTCTATTTTTCAGCATGTTCATTTAACAGTTATTATCCCGCTGTCTAGTTCTGTACGTGACGGTTTAACAACTTGAGTCGACGACGAGCAATCCAGAAAGCCATATCACTGACAGATGTGAATGGAGTGATATACTCTAATCCATGGTGGTGGTGGTGGGGGTGTCAGTCGATGCCTCGAAAAGTTCCAGGTGTTTTCATGCATTAACAGTTGGTAACGTTTTGATTTAAAGGTACGATGTACGTATATACATTGTAAAGAAAAAACAGGGACCAATTTCAAACTAAAAGGACAGGATTTTTTATTTACCTAAATCTAATTTCCTCCTGAGCATTTTATCAACTCCACAAGCTATAAACTGCATCAACATTTATCAAGCAACCATGACCTAATGAGCAAAGAAGGTGCTTTGTTGGAACTGGCTGAACAGCCAACGTTGCGTGGTGTTTTTGCCACGTAACAAACTATTTGTATTTTCAGAAGAGTAATAACAAGGGATTGCTGTGAGCATAAATCAAAGCTTGACCCACCTGTGGCCGTTTACAAGGGTCAAAGGTTGTCTTCTACCCTTGATTCATGCAGACTGCACGCTTATGATTTATGGGAACAAACGGGAAAAACCTATGAAAGAGGTTTGCTAAAACATTGCATGATCTTTACAAACCTGCATGAATTGGGAAATCTCAAAAGCAGTGCGTGCGTGCATGCTATATACGGGGCTCGTTTTATTTAGTGCGTTATAAAAAAGCTCATTTTGCCTTCCCTAAAATTCTGGGCGCAAGGAGAACACAAGGTCCCTTTACTTATATAGATGATGGAGCATTAAAAACAAGGAGCTCATTCTTCGGACGGTAGTACGTGTACACTTATATAACTGCGAATGGACGTCGCGTCGCCAATTAATCGTTCTCGTGGGCAATTAAAACAAAATTAATGGACGAAAATAATAATTAGGGGAAAAGAGAAATTTCCGGAAAGGGACACTACATTGTGTATTCGTACCACAAATAGCGCCAACTATACTGTCCGTTGGCGCTAGAATCCCTTCGCTCCAATTTTCGAATTTCCTGGGAGCGAATAAAATCTTCCGATGGTAATACATGGTCCGTCCGTGATTACGAAAATTGAAGAAAGTTTGAATGGCAGTTACGAATGTGTGAACATTAATATAGCAAGTCAAACGCCTTGGTTTTTTTTTAACACCGCAGCCTCATCATGAAAATGATGATTGGGTAATTTGGGGTAATTTTTCTTATTGCCAACTAGTGTATCCATCAAGGCAGGACACGTGCGTGGATCACATACAGGACCAACTGCTGCACTTTAAGGTTTACCCAGACAACTCTCTGCCGAATAAAATCTTCCGATCGTAGTACATGGTCCGTCCGTGATTACGAGCATTGAAGAAAGTTTGAATGGCAGTTACGAATGTGTGAACATGAATATGTCGAGTGAAACGCCTTGGGTTTTTTTTAAACACCGCAGCCTCATTAAAATGATGATTGGGTAATTTGGGGTAATTTTTCGTATTGCCAACTGGTGCATCTATCAAGGCAGGCCACGTGCGTGGATCACATACAGGACCAACTGCTGCACTTTAATGTTTACCCAGACAACTCTCTGCCGGGAAAGGTCTCTCATTTCAAGGCTTCATCGATGCCGCGTCAAGGCGACCGCGACAGGGCACGACCGTCAATTTCCATTTCAATTTGGATTTTAACGAGGGCTGGGTTGTCTAGCGGTTACATCGCTGGTTCGCGCACGACAGAATCTCCCTTGTCATTACACGGGTGGAATTGCTTATCAATACTCGATATTACCAGCGATTTATTTTTCAAATTGAATCATAACCCGTGTCAACGTGGATAATTCGCGCACGTGTTTGAACGTTTCAGCTTGCGTTGGCGGTAACGACTGGCGACCCGCCGTCAATTTAGAACGATGAACTTCGATGTGGGGTCACTCTGGGGACATTTAACCGGTGTTATGTCGGGCCCAGCTTGCGCTGACGCAACTATCTAACGGGAAGCTAGCAAGTCAGGTTAAAGGTATGTGCGCAATAAATGTCATGTTCATGTACATAATTTGTACGAGAAATATTTGCGAAAGCGGAGCTGCATAAATTTTAAAGTGTCCATGAAATGAATATTTCTTAGGAACACATTTTGTGTTACAATACAATGTATAAAAACTACTTGACACCCCTTTTTGGTTAATTTTATTCAAAAGTGCACTTCTTTAAACATTTCAAATTTTCAGATGATGGTCGGCCGGCCATCGTTGGAAATTTATACCAAAAGGCCACCTTCTTGAAAATGACAGCACGCCAAGTGCCATGATTTCACAGAATGCTTTAGACTGTTATTCACTTTCAATCAAGTAGGGTATTTAATGAATTTGGAAGTTTTGTTTTTAGAAGTTTGCAAATGTTGTATATCACTTTTAAAAAAGGTATGCTGACGGTAACAGTTTTCGGCCTGGTAAGAAATAACACATCATTTAGCCGAAATTCCAGTGAGGACAGTCATTATTACATAATGACCTTGTAATGAAGAGAAATGAACCGTTCCACCTGCTTGAATTATAATTATGGCGGCAGTGGCCATAGACGTGACAATGACAAGGCCAATTCGTGTAGATCACATCAATGCCTCATTGCCCTAAGTTCAGAAATAATGACTCATGATTAGTAAAACAAAGGTCATTGTTCCGAATCAAGCTGGACATTATATCAAACCTTCGATATGTACTCCGCGAATTTACGGGTTTCTGTGACGTCTTTAAGTAGGCCTAATCAACCGTAGAACTGAGTTCAAAGACATTAAAAAGCAAGAATATAGTTTCAGAAACACATCTTAAATTTTCTCTTTCCGTGATTTTCTTGAAAAGACAACTAAACTCATCATTTAGCGTTTCTGTCATATTTGTGGATGTGGTTCAGTTACTGATTGAAGTAAAATAAAAAAATAATTACTTATTATGGACGAATCCATTAATTTCGTAAGGGGTGATTTAGCCCCTGCTTTGAGTTTTACATCGTTTCTTGAATACATTTCAAGAAAAATAATTATATTGTGACGTTGAACAACTGATTATCAAATAAAATGTTTCGAACTCCATAAAAAGTATTAGTTTTTTTTTTTTTTTTTTTTTTAAACAGCGGAAATATTGGTAATTATTGTTCCCAAGAAAGTACATCCCTTTATTACCACAAATGGTGTGGTCCATGGGGAATGCATGCAGCTAGCATGCAGCACTAGTATCACGTACGGCCGATTGTCGATGTCGAAGAGACAGCTTTCACTTGCCGTACTTTACCGCTCGATGGACGTGCTTTTGGTTTGTTACTGACTTTCTTAATTGATGATTCATTTCAGCAACAGATCTTTTGTTATACCAGTACATTAAATATACATTTGAATCTCATTTTTATCCTTCAAGGCTCGGCGTATAAGCCGCCCTGTTTATAAGCCGCAGTAAACATTATCATGGGCAAAATCAACGTATAAGCCGCGGCTTATATTCCGAAAATTACGGTATGTGACGGACTTGCGAGGACCTATATGAGTACATGTGATGAGCTGGACTATATAACACTGTTGGTGTTCAGGGATATAGCACCCAATCCTCTATCGATCTGTGACGATTACGTTTTAGTATATAGGGGCCTACTGACGGCACATCTGATGGTTTCAGTAACCGTTTACGAATGGGAGCCAAGTTCGAATTGGTAGTTACCACACAGTGTATTATAAATAGAAATGTCCCGCTTTAATAGCTTGGCCCAACTCATTCACCGGGACCTCCAGCATCAGCTGATCAATTGAAATCTTCCTCTCCCAGCCACAGCGTGTTTCCTGTCTCCGCCCACTCCCAAGATTCACCATCATGGATAGCCATCATGGAGAGACAGTTTGACTCATCACTGTCACGCAGCAATGATGAAATGGAAGCTTCAGTCAGGACAGACTATGTCACTTAGTTTTGTTGCAATTGCAGATTCAGAATTTTCTGCCTGAATGAAAGCCTGGCTTTATGATCTTGGTAAAAAGCACGTCCCGACTTGGTCGTCGGTCCCAACATAATTATGTTGGGCCTGCCTTCGTTCCCGAAGGAGGTTCATAACGGTTTCAAACAATTAGAAAAACATGGAGCCCTTTCAACAACATTTTTATAACCAAGGTTTGGGACAACATTACTGTGTGGATCGGGTGGGCAGCCAGTAGGATATTCAAGCAAAGTCCAAGACATCCAGCCCCTTCGCAATTTTGTGTGCAACCCCTGCAAGTTGGGGACGGAGGGGAGGGGGCAGAGGCTTCGATGCTCTGCCAAGTATATTTGGGCAACCAAACCAACATGGAAAATATTTTGGAAGATAATTATTTTGTTTCTTTTACGGATGATGTTTCAGTCTCCAAGAAAACATGACAACCTCCTGGAGTCCTTATACATGAAAGCTTAATATAGAAGCATCTGAGATATTTAACGTCCTATCGCACCCTGGGACCTTTTTTTCGGAACAAGGAGGACTTCAGGGGTCAGGACAACTTTAATGCGAAGTTTCCGGGGATCTCAATCGGCCCCGCCGATGGTAGAACCACCTGGAGTGTCTGCACGGCTCGATATCCCCCAGGGGCAGCGCTGCGCTGCAGATTTTGTCATCGGATACAAAAAAAGCTCACTGGTTATATATGTTTCAAACCGATCGAAAATAGCTAAATTGACGACTGGTGGGGAGAAAAATCAACTTCATCTCTTTTCTTTTGAGTCCCACGATCGGCATGAGAGAGCGGTTTTGCAAGCGGGACGTTAATTGTCTTCTTAATACACAGCCGGACTCGGAGGTCACCCGTGTTGAGAACTACAATATTTCTTTCACAACACTGAGGTTTAAAACATGGACCGAGGTAGAGGGTCTACGGAGAAAATCACAGGTCATTTTGGACGATTCGTTAAGGCATAAAGTTGTGCAAATTGGCAACCTTGAGGATGTAAATTGATTTGTGGTGGCATGTGAATTGTGACAAACTAGCTTGCAACGGACTACGTGAATTAAAAACAAAGCGTGTCCGGACTAAAGTACGCGACTTGGTGTCGTAGTTATAGCAAAACCGATCTTCTAGTATTAAGGTAGCGTCATGATACGTACACCCATCAAGAGTAGCCGTACACCTGCCCTAGATATTTTATCGTAGGCTAAATTCTTGCCATTGAAAAAAAGTACGACGAATGACATAATATTGGTCTTCAACATCGTTCAGTTTAACGCTGACGCGCGTGGCTCACACAATCAGGCGTGATTCGCTGGAAGTTGAAGTTGAAGGACTAGATGACATTAATCAGAGGATGTGATGACATTGAGGTCCGACATCCCGGCCGCAGAAACAATAGGTTCCATTCAACTTGGTTTTTTTTCTCGGTTTTAAAGGAAGTCACTATGACTGTTCCACATTTTTAGTGAAAACCGGAAATGTTGAACCATACACGAACTTGGCTATTAACCACTCACATTCGCTCGTAATCCAATGTGATGCAATGGAAGGCAATATAATAATGGAGCCGTTCTATCACATAGATGGGTTAAACTTGTTACCAAGTCATATGAATGAACGTTGATTGACGATCACTATACCAACCACTCTCATGGGCGTCGCCAGGATTTTTGGAAAAAATGTTGGCCAAAAAATGCTTGCATTTCTCAACACATTCTCGATTTATCAGTTTTAGAGGGGGGCAGGGAAATTTTGCCCCCCCCCCAACTCATTAAATTTACACCACTTTGTCTTCGCGCCTCTTTTTCTTTTCTTTTTTTTCTTTTCTTTTTCTTCCTTTTTTTTGTTTTTGTTTGCTTTTCCTTGCCCCCCCCCTCGCGACGCCCATGACCACTCTATCCATTGCCAGCGCTCCGCCCACAATAGGGAGTCTGAGGCTGGATATGGCCTCGATTGCTGCCCAATCAATGTAGACCAGCGTGATAGCAACAAATTGTATTATAACCTTCAACCCATTTAACAACGTCAAAACACCTTTCTGAAGATCCTACTAGCCTTGCTTCATACCAGAGCCCTCTGGCCTAAGTTCTTTTTATACCTGATTTCACACAAAACCGATCACATAAATTATTCCAGAAATGCCATGAATGCATTACTAGGGTGCTTCGAGTTGTAAATATTAAGATACATCAGTGTGGAACATTGGCGTTCAGTGTACGCACAAATCTGGAAGCAATGCAAGTGATCTATTATTAGAGAACTAAAAATTGCTGACGAATGACAGCAGTATACGTGGTGTGTATACTTACCTCAGACGCCGTGGAAGCTGCACAGAGAGCGGGTAGTAGTAACCACACAAAGTGATGAGCTTCCATCATTTTCATTGATCTCCGTCCTGATGATACTGAATAAGATGTCCGTCGATGCAAACACACTATGATATGAAATTGGACTGAGCTAGAAACTTTTGGCCGGCTGCTTGGTTGAAGGAATTTAAATTTGAAAAAAAAAACCTGCCCGCGCTTTTAGCAAGATTTACAGCTGATTGCCGGTCTTGATCCTTTGCTAAGCTTCCTGAGTTTGCCCTAAACTGTTCTTATGACATTCACCATCACCTGGTCAGTGAGAACCAATCTCTATAGTTTGTCCTAGACAAAAGCCACCGTCTGGTCACACCAAACAACAATACGTGCCGCTGCGATGAAGCCCCAGCTAGCTCCAACTTTGCCAAAGTTGGCCGAGCTGTGTCAGCAACTCTCCACTCGATCCGTCGCTCACCGCACGCCGGCCTTCCAGCGATCCCTTACCCACTCAGCTTGCCACGGCACAGAGAAGACCCGGCAGCACACTCACACAACCTCACCGCGCGAACTCTCGGCACCAAAAGGGGAGAGCGTACAGCAGGGACACACCATCTGGGCTTCTGCGCTGCGCGCGCATCGCACACACCGTGTAAAACGAGTTCCTCATCCCCGCTGTGACCTCCTGTACCGTCTAGGTCAGCCATCACTCATTCGCATATTATTATTATCCCCGGGACCAGCTTGAGTTTTAACATGATATTACTGGCATTTTTTTCACGGTGCAGACCGTGCAGACCAAGCAAAAAGTCTCCTGGGAATTTGGAGGGGTCAGGGGCGCTGTGAGCCCCCCCCCCGGGCCCCTACACATGAACTGGCTCCGGGAAACCCTTTGCTGAGAGTATTTTGGTCCTTGGGATTGTTTATCATTACCCTTCAGGAAACTAGAGTTTTACTGGCTTCATAAAGTGTGCCCCTGTGAATCTCAGTCCCAACATCTGTTTCAGCACGCCAGTTAAAGTTAAACGAAACATACGGGGTGAGTCACAAAAATAGGAAAACCCAAATGACATGACCATTTTTTAATGAAGTTCTGCACGTAGCACTTTCAAAATCGAGGATATGAAAATCCAATAAATAAGCTTTCTTTTAGTACAAGTATCAATCAAATCACTCGACATGTACTTCTCAATTTACGGGATTTTGAACACAACCACCGTTTTTAAGTTCTGTCCACGGATACAAACTTCAAGGATACAAACTTCTTGAGGTCCTGGCTGTAGGAACAAGGTGTTCCCTGGATAAACAAGAGAAGGAAACTACAAGCGAAGGGAAATTGGGGGTCAGCAATGGCCAGGGCCACTGCGCCGTGCGGCGGAAGTTTCCTCTCAGGAAGGTATATGAAAACCGCGTGAGGAAGAGACTTGGAATGCACTAAGAACTGTAGCGATAAAGTAGGACGCGTGATCGGGGGTTCGTATAATTTATGCCGGGGAGGGAGGAGGGGGAGGGGGGAGGGGGGGTCGAAGATTAGTTTTCAAGAATCGATTATTCCGTAAACTTAATTTCAAGAAACGGACGCTTAATGTTTTTGTATCGATTTTTATGACTGCAATCGGTATATCACACGAACTAAAATATTATTGTATTGTACTATGACTGTATGACACTTTGTTGGGTTTAACAATGGCGAAATATAATTATAAAGAATTCGAATTAAATGAGACTTGCAGGTTTGCATGGTGAACATGAAGAATTCAAATCGTCTCAATTTCAGATAGGGGACAAATCATATCTGATGTCTCCAAACATGACTGAAATGAAGACAAATAAACCGAGCGTGTGCTAGTTTTAAAAAAATGCTCAAAACAAAGGAAAAGCCAATAAACTTCAGTATCCAGTCGTTGATTGGTGAAATTTACTTCCAAGTTCTCTTCAACTGTAAGTTCCAACGCAAAATAAATGATTTGGGCATGCGTTATCGATCGATGGTCATTTTGGTCGTTTATATTTTCGTCAAGATTTTCCTGTGAATGAAAAAAAATGAACAACCTTCACTCAGAGATACCCTCTCCCAAGCGGAAAAAACTTGGATGATTCATAACTATTCAGTGGCCAGACTCAAAAACACATACACAATCGTTTAATTAAGATTCAATTTAACGCATGTATCAGTATTAAAAGGGCCTTTATTTTTGTAAGACATTATGGATAACTCAGATATCAATAAATATAAAGCAACAGTACTATTTGTTTGATTATCCTCTTAAAATGCAATAAATACTAAAGATTCTTAATGACATAGAAGAACATTGAGGCATTTTTTAAATGTAAACTTCGCGAGGTAATAACCTGCTATTTGAACTGTCTAATAACTGTCTAATAACTGTAATAAATCAAGCTTACTGAGATAAACCACTTATATATAATATCTAAAAATACTATATTACAAATATATTTAAAGATTTAAATAAATATGCAAACATCCATCACAACCATTGTGTCTCAAAGATGCTCAAAATTCACTGGTTTATATTATAATAGGACGGTCTTTGGGGCACTGATTTAAAACGACTTGCAATGAGACTAGTTTTCTAATCTCGGCTTTGTTATGGTCTGACTTCATTTCGGGCTGCGGCAACGAAATAAAAAGTTAGTCTCCAAACTTTTGGAATCATGATTTAGACGATTTAGTGTTTCTGTATAAACAGAAAAAAAGCTACACTAAATCGTAAGGTTTCGGCTCAGAGGACTCAGATCTTGAGTTGATGCTCGTAACCAAAGCCGGAGACAAGCCGAGGTTTGGATACCGCTTAGCAACCACTCACAGCTCATCCCTGCCAATAAATCGTCCACTGAGGGCGCTCAACAATCGAACCAGCACCTTGTATCGTCGATGCCTCACTCCTGTCGTCTTGAGGTACAAAAGCCGCAGGTACGCTTACATTCACGCCTCATGGATCTAGTCGTCTCGCAGTGACCTTGATCCTTCCACAGGCTGCAATAATCACTCTTATCCATGCACCTCCTACCTAAAGAATCAAAAGGAAAATATAATATTCAGTTGTATATCGTACATAAAAAAAAAATCCCTCTTCGGCCCTCTTGCCTTATAGTTGGAGTAGCGCCACCATGCGATACATTTTGCAAATGACGGACGTCAGAGATTGAAGAAGGAAAATAAGTTAATGCTTCCCTTCATTAATACTGCAAGAGTTGGTCGAATAATCAAATTTATTTCTAGTCGTATTTCTAAAATTCAAAGTTGCGCCTTGTTGTTTGCGCGCGTATAAAGGGCGCCCGCATCCGTGAACCGCTGCTAAGTCCAATAACCCGTGCGCACTGAAACATCGCATCGCGCTATTAAGGACGTCTTGGAACCAAGACTAATTTATTTCACGTCGTGGAGTCAAAGGTCATATAAAATTCGAAGGTCATACAAAGGTCATATCAACGAGGTCAGCGATGCGGAAAACTCACCTGAACCTGGTCCACAGATCCTGCAGCTCATCTGGCAGTATGTGAACATGTAGGATCTGTTGGTCTCACAGCTGCCTGAACGAGCCCACTGGCGACACCTGGAATCCATATCTTGGCAAGCTAAAAAAAAAAGTTGGGAAGAAAGACATTATGAAAATAAGAAGCTGAAACCAAATTGTGAGGGCAAACGCGGTACTGGCATAACCCCTGCCTCTTGCAGTTTGGAAATAGGTCCGACACTGGCTAGCCGGATCGCAGCCAGATAACATGATCCTGCAGGACACTGGTTTTAAAAAGCCCGAGTTTTACATTGCACCCTCTTTGTGTACAGGAGTCAACACCTTCATTTGAAGTCGAAAGTCGACGTTGCATGCGCATTCTCTCTTTTTCTCTCTTATATACCAATCATATTGCAAGTGACCTCTGATTTCTTTGAGTTGTCATTTGATAAACTTCATTTTATACCCGGTGACCAGGGGTGAACGCTTCCGCGTGCGCATGTGCGCTAGGCACGACTACCCACAATGCTTCGCGACGTAGCGGTCAACAGCTTGAATAGGTCTTTGGGTATGGGCCTTATGCACGAGTTGGCCATATTGAATTGAAAGTGAGGTAGAAGAAAAATGAAAGCAAGTTGATTACAAATTAATTCCAGTCTGCTTCAATTAATAATTTAAAACTTGGAATTAAACATTCCCTAATTTTATAGCCAGATTTACAAAAATGACATAATAAGGCTGCATTATGCCTGCATAAATGGACTGGCGCCATCCCATTCAACAGTCAACAATCATGTGAAATACATTTAGGGAACTCGACAAAAATGGCCAACTCGTGCATAAGGCCCATGAGGGAATCCCAGGTCCCTTCGGGTCATCCAAAATGATTTCTTAGAAACAGAGGCGAAGTCCGAACCATCAATTTGCAACTTGGTTGATGACAATTCCATGACGCTAAAGTCAATGCTTTATTGTTTTGTCATAGTACATGTTCAGTCACCAGTTTCTTTTGGCCTCGAATTCGAGCCCAACGAGCCGCTGTACTGGGACATACAGACGTATTTCTTTGGGTTTCCCCGTCCCCCTAATCCTCCCCTACAACGAATCGGCGTCGCGAGAGGGGGGGGGGGGGCAAGGGGGAAATCCCCCCCCCCCCGAAAAAAGGGGGGGGGGAGGAAGAAAAAAAAAGAGAGAAAAAAAAATGAGGCGCGAAGTCAGATTGGTGTAAATTTAATGGGCTGGGGAAGGGGACAAAATGTCCCTGCCCCCCCCCCCCCCTTTAAAACTGATAAATCGAGAATATGTTGAGAAATACAGATTATTTTTGAGGAAAAATATGTTTAGCTCCCCTCTAGAGAAAATCCTGACGACGCCCATGCAGATCGATCTGCCACTTGAAGCAATTAATGTTTAGATTTGTAAAAGTCAACTTACAACAATTGTAATACCGACTTAGCTCCAGCTTATCGGTGGCGCTGAGGCCCTCCCTGTTGCCGATGATTTCGTCCGTTGGATCGGGCACAATCGTCGGTTCATCGTTTTTGCTGAAGGCCTTCTTGTTGAAGTGCATGACTGAGCGAAAGTCGTAGGTTGTGTTCAGGTGGTCTAGGGTAGACTGGTCGTATTTTTGGAAGTTGTGCCTTTCTCCTGGGATAGCAAGATAGGTAAAAAAGGTGATTAAAAAAAATAAAAAAATTAATAAGTCGACGATAAGCATGAATTCGTAAACCTGTCAATGAAAGGTGTCAACGAAAGTTTATGCAAAAATACAAATGATTTCTTTCTGTTATTGCAGTTTGCTTATGTTCTTGGAATTTGCAATTTTGGAGAGGCGGGACGTTTGAAAATGTCTAGTCATGTGTACACGGAGGACCTGTCATCAGATGTAACGTTAGATGCGAGGAGTAAATAGTAAATAAATATGATTTGAAATCAGAATTATTTGATCAACCTGAGTCACTATATCTGGTTTGGCAAGTCTCTGGACCCCCAGTCTGAAAAAAAAGAGTGGAAGCTGACATGGAAATCTCACCCGACTTGATATTGTCCCAGTGGATGGTAACAAACTCGTCCCGATCAGGCCGATTGTGCTCGTGTCCGAAGCCTAGAGCATGCATGAGCTCGTGCGCGATGGTGCCTTGATTGGACAGACACGTCTCGTTAAGGGAGAGCTCCTGGGAGCCGCCACTACGACCAACGTAAGACCAGCACCTGAGCAGTGGGATAAAAAAAGGCATTCGATCAACAAGCATGAACAAGATTTGGCCATGGCGGTGATGACGAGTGAGGAAAAGGAACGTTTTAGCAATATGGCAAAGACAAGTGTACTCGAACTTGAACTCACCCGTCTTTTGGTAGGATGTGAATGTAGTCTGTTTCGTTTGTCCGGCTGACGAACCGGATGCAAGAATTCCTGTGGAAGATCTTGAAGGTGGCTACAATCTTCCCCCGTGAAGTAGCATCTTCAAGGGAGAGAAGACATAAAAAAAATACCTTTAAAAACACCCCATTGTCAGCTGCTAAATCGATGAGATTTAAACCTGACTACCATTCCTCTAACTGACTCATTGCATGGTAGCCATCTCGCAGGTGCAATGCTTTTGGCTCACGGTGATACGCTAGACCCTTACGTATCCCATTGAACAAAAGCACGCGCCGAACAAAAGCATTGAACAAAAGTAGCTGTAATGCAAATTATCTAGTACTATCACAAATTTTCATGCAATTTGTAAAGGCAACTTGAAACATTCTAAAAGAATCAAACACTTCGAATACTTGACACCACATCAATATTTATTCTTACCGTAAGAGTCGTCGATGGTGTACGGGACCACGCCTTGGGGCCAACGTTTTGAACGGTCTCGGAGAGCATTTCTCTTGTTAACGTCGTGCTGCAATAGATACAATTTTAATGTGTGTTATAAATTACTTTTCAGGCGATAGCTCAATGGACCAAAATTAAATGTTGTCGGGTACCGTCAGGCGCCATCCGACAATGAGGAAATTGGAAGTTCGGGGGGGGGGGGAAGATGAGACTTATCAGCTTTTTGGAGCGGAGGGTCAATTTTCGGTAAACATTATGAACATTTTGGTATATCGCAGAGGAAAGACAACTAACGGAAAAGTGTAATCAATGTATGCGTCAACCGTCATTTGCAGTATTTTTTGGGGGGCGGGGGGGGGGGGGGGGTGGGGGGATTAGGGCGGGGCTGGGAGGGGGCTCTGAGGAATTCACACCTGTTGATTATACCTACCGATGCTTGCGTGTTTCCATGGTGGGTATGAACAGTCATAATGTCTCCCTCTACGAGCCAATGCTTGATTTCTGTCAATTAACGGGAGGAAAGGGAAAAGGAACAAAACAAAAATTATGCTCTCTTTCAAAAATAACCCCCATTGTCGTGGTAATTCATGCACAATGAGGTAATATGGTTATGTATACTATGTGAGTTGCACAACCATAGGTTTAAAACAAAATCCCGAATGTTTCCCTCATTAGGAAATTAGTTTTCCTCCCCGGTAAATAACGATATAAGAGACTAAATATAAAACAAGCAAAACAAAGGCATGCTTGTTTATTCTGCGTTATTAAACAATATGTTAAATGCACTAGATGAGCTCAATATCCGGTAGTTGCGAAAGATGAAAGAGGAATATTCTATAAAAAGGTTTTCGTGGAAATCCGTTTTCTGTAGTAATACTGGTTACATCACTGAAATATCGCAAAGTCCTTTTGTGGTTAGATCCTTTATTTGTTTTCTTTTGAGGGAATGACATAAAACATTGGACTGCAGGTCAAACGTTTCCGTCTGCATTAAAAAAAAGTGCTCTAAATTTCGCAACCAGTCTGAATAATTCCCCACAATCGGAATTGCAGAAGTAATAACTTGATGACAATGATTTGCCTCTTAGTACGGCAGGTATGTGATGGGATTGTGCCTTTGATGATTCAAGCATGGCATTTGGCACACAGTCAGAGTATGTCATGAGAAAGATGGTTGGCTACATGACCATCGTAGATTTGTCCTTTGAAAGAAATATATAGGTACAATAACAAGCAATGGCAGCCATTTTGAACATTTTGCAAATTTCTTGTTATTCTACCTATATTTTTTTCAAAGGACAAATCTGCGATGGCCCTACAGCCAGATATCTTTCTTAAGACATGCTCTGACTGCTTGCCAAATGCCATGCTTGTATCATCAAAGGTACAATTCCCTCAAATATTTCCCCTATCTGCCCCACTATCTAATTATATTGGGCAAACTGTTTGTTTTTTGGCATTAGTGATTGCATCACTAATGAAAAAAAAAGGAGCGCGAACGCCGAGAATATAGTTTTTTGTTTTAATGATGACTGGCTTTCGAAAGAGTTTTTCTCACGCAAACATGCTGGGACCGCGCCACAAAGAACCTGAGCAAGACCTACCGTTGGGGGCGCTCTCGTTCTCCAACAGAATGAGCTCCATGGCAACCATCTCGGAGCTATTGCTAATGTTCCAAGGTTCTGTAGAGGAACGATGCAGCAACGTTAGATTGTTGTGGTCGTGGTGTAGTGGTGATGAGTTGGTGGTGGTGATATTGATAATTATGTTGATGAAGAGGTTGTGTTTTATTCAGTGGTGAACTCGAAAATTGTCAAAGGGCAGGGATAAAATCAAAAGCAATATTTTTTTTTTTTGGGGGGGGTTGAGCTTTTGAAGTCCAAAATGTATCGAGGGGGGGGGGGGGAGGAAATGAAGTTTTGAGGTCAACACTAAACAATTCCCAATATTGTTTGAGATTGCATAGATTAAGGATTGTTTTCTGTGTCAGTTATGGAACTCCGATGGAAATAAGCCTCTGTACTTGTTAATAGCCTTTTATCATAGTGCTGTCCCTGATCAAATCAATTGTCCTCCGTTTCCTTATCATTGTATTCTTGTGTGAAGTACATGTTGTTATTGATATTATCTGAATACAAATTTGGTTAAACGGGAGGGGGGGGGGAGGTTGGTTGGCCATCAGGAACATACCCTTATTAAAGACTTATTAAAAGACTTTTGACTTTTTCCCCCGATTTCATTCAACTTACCCTCAAACGCTGTGTCCTCGAATGCAATCTGGAGAAAAAGCAGAACAGGCTTATTTTAATTAAATAGGCCTATGTATTTTTTTTTCTAGATTTTGGGTAAAGAATTTTGGGGAAGTTTTGTTTTACCGCTGCCTTTTTTCAGTATAAAGCCCCGTCGCAAGTCTTCAAGACCTGTTCAGATCGTGGTCAATCTTTTGATGAAGGTTTTCCCAGTTATTTCAACACTTATAGCACACACACACTTCCCTATATCGATACTTTAACTTCGTCCCCGAACATCGTCGAGCTCAATTCTCAATTTCAATTTCAAAACGCCACTAATGTATTTCATTTCAGGTGCAGTATAATTCATATTTGTAGCATTCTGGTTCGTCTTAATTTCGATGAAATCGTCTCGTGTGGCGATGTTGGTATTGGAAAAGCAAATAGGCCCTACGTGATGTAAGTGTTAACATAACTGAGAACACCTTTAAGTTTAAAACAAATTAACTGGACATTTTTTTTTGGCTATTTTTCTAATGAAAATGACGCTACCTCAATTGTGTCTTGATTTGTCGATGATTGTAGAACATCGGATGACCCATGCGAGCTTGCTTCCGAGTAACCCGAATGCCAATCAGATGAATCCACCTTAAAAATAAAATACAAGCAGTCAGTATAATTGACGCCTGACTTTCATATTACGAATATACGAATATACATGTATATTCTACCAGTACCTGCCTGTTTACTTACTAAAATGGCTTTTGTTCTTTTTCTTCGATATCAACGCATCAGAATTCACACATCAGTGTAATTTGAAATGCAAGCAAGGTCATCGTTAAACCAGTCACATTGGAATTTAATAGGAAACGTAAGCCATCGATGAAGCATCAGTTGAAAAAGTAGTGAAAGTGGCAAGGTGAAATGAAATAAGCCTCGGTAGTTTGCCAAAAAGCCGCATTTATACCTGCAACTTAAACAAGAATGACATGTCACAGACCTACACTCAACCAAAAAAGAAAGTCCCCCCTCAATTCTTTTTTTGTTTAACTCAACAACTACTGGGCACATCTTGCTCAAATTACGACTGATCAGTACAGAAATTCCTTAGCAATCCAGCCATACTCTTTGTTTGGCCGAAAACAGTGATAATTGTACAAAATAGTGCAATTTATGACAAGTGGTACCGAAAAAAGTTACACCTTTGTACACTTGCAAGGTGAGTTTGAACCGCAACATGCAGGTTTACAAAAGTGCAACTGTTTTCGGTATCATTTGTCATCAATTGCATAAATTCGTACACATTATCACTGTTTTGGGGCCAAATAAAGAGTATTGCTGGATTGCTAAGGAATTTCTGTACTGATTAGTCGTTGTTTGAGCGAGAGGTGCTCAGTGGATTTTGAGTTAGACAAAAAAGTATTGGAAGGGGGACTTTCTTTTTTGGTTGAGTGTACATGTTTAACGATTAATCTTCATGGGTGTGCATGGTGTTGTCAACAAAACGAATGATCAACGCTTTCAATGTTTAATATCTAAAATTAACTTATACACTTCTTTACTTTTAAAAAGTGGAATTCGGTATAGAACATTTTTTGCGAATAGGGAAAATATTGATGAATCAATCCTAGCAATAACCAAAATAAAACCAAAGAAAAAACACCCCAGATAATATGCAGGAAGTGGGAAATGTAGGGAATTGAAACTAAAACCCCCAGAAAATAACACCCAAAATTTCGACAACATCAATCAGACAGGTAACGTTGATAACAGCGGAACCGTATCGGAGTTACACCCATTAAAGCAATAACCATTAATTTTGTGAACCTGAAAATCCTGTCGGATATCCAGCTTGGGGGCGTAATATTTCTTTCCGGATAATAAAGCCACAAGTGTTTTTTCCTTTTCATGCAGGGTGAAAAATGAAAGTGGCCGAATTTGAAAAATATTTTAAAAATATTTGGCTTGCTGTATTTCGTGAAAAAAAATAGGGATAAAGTACACCTTATTGACTTTGAACTGTGAACATTTCATGTAATTTGCATACTCTATTCCCAAGTTATGTCTATTGCAATAAAAAAAAATCACAAAACTCAGCTGTCCACCACTGATAATTTACCGTTCTACGAACTGATGAATACCCACTCAATACAACGAAACATGGACGTTTTCCCACCTCGATGAATGAACGAAAAGTTGCAACGGAATACATACAAAAATCGCCATCAATATTTCAGGAAAAAAAATGATTGTCAGTAAAAATAATGTTTCAGTCTTGATTTCAATGATTAAAATGTCATTTGTATTTGAATACTTGAGTGTAATCTGCAATTCTCACTCAGCTCAATAACTTCAAACGGACAGCTATAAAAATAGGTTCTTTTATTAAAACATAACTTCTGATTGCATGGATCTACTTCAGTAATTCATGTTTTTTTTTCAGATGGGTGGAAGAGCATGCTCTTATAAAGATATTATTTCATTCGTGTATCATATTAAATTGCTTTGTAAGAAATCTTTATTCCGGGTCACTTTCCTTTTGACCCACCCTGCATAAGGTTAGATTTTACCGGCCAGTAATTGTTTGTGTGTGTGCGCGATTCCCCAAACTTTGAAAGTAAAAGGTCACTGGAACCGAGGCTACAACATTAACACACAAACAGGCAATTCAGTTATTTCGTAAGAAGTATTAGAAAATGAAAGTTAAACGTCGCAGAGCCTGCATGCCCCACCCCGGCATCTACATGAACGTGTCACGACAGGTCTTGCACAACGATTGCGACATCTTTGTTTAGCGGAGATCAGGGGAAGGAATGCATGCTTGCATCCGATTCCCTAAGCCTCTGTACTAATGACGTCACTCTTTGTTTACCTGTGCACTTTTTTTTATTGAGCCAGTGGGGGCCCATGGACCACTGAGCACCATAGGAAAGCATAATGTAATTATAAGATGGAATTTTTTGAGCATAATGTAAACAAAGTGTGACGTCATTAGTACAGAGGCTATTGAGAATCAATTATCTTACTCCGCGTTTAAACGTCAACTTAAAGTCAATTTTTAAAAAGTGACTTTGCTGCATTGGTAGCATGTGGCTTTAAAAACATGAAAAAAATTGACATAGAAAATGATAAAGCACAGCAAAAAGAACGATTAAAAATCATTTTTGTTAAAAGATTGTCTGTGGTTCGAGTGTTATCCCGCTAAACTTGAACGATAATGAAATGCCGATTTAAAGTTCCGTTGTTGTGAAGGTTTTGAAGGTTTTGTTACATTAAGACCTGGAATGTGCAGGGCAGTCGCCAACTTCTCAACGAGGCCTACACTGATGTTATTTAAAAAAAAAATGGTTTTAATTTCGTTCTTCCAATTATAACAATCAAATAAGCCTGGAAGAAGTTTGTCCTGTAGTTATTGCTCCGGGTACAAACATTGTCCCCTCCAAAAAAACTAAAGTAAAACAAAAACTGGCAAAAAGACAAATATATCATGGATGATCCTTACAAGTGTCTCGAAAACAGGTGCATTTTAAAATATTGATTCAATCAATTTTAATTTGTAGTTGCATGACAAAATCAAATTGCAGATTTCCATCCAAAACCTCATCAACCCCCTCCCCTAAAATGCGTGAAAGTCATAAACACCGTGTTTAACTTGATTTAATAACACCCCAGTTCTCAAGATCAAGAACACGACAAAAGAATTAACAAATCGTAGCCCCCCCCCAAAAAAAAAAAATTGCCTTTGAAATTTCGAAAGCAGCCAAAGCTTACAGGACCTTTTGCTCTCAGGATTGAACTAAAAATAATACCGCATCACCCTTGCGCTCTAGTTATGCAATCGTAACTTTCACAATATTATGGAAATGACAACATATTCAAGTGGGGATTTTTTTTCTGAAGGTTGTAACAGATGGATAAGTTAGATAACAATAAAAAAGAACACTATTATAAAGAAGAAAACATACTTTAAGTTGCTCTTTCTAAGGAAAAAAAATGACATCCATTGAGCGTTGTACTGAGGATATCTTTATAAGATGCCTGATGCTTTGTTCACACGAGTACAGCGTGAGAATCTTGTGCTTTCAAGGTTACTGAATTAAATTTTAAAACTATTATCCGTAATGAATAAATTAAAACAAAAATACAGATGGCTACTGAATGTTGGTTCCTCGGAAAGTTCTTTTACTTACCGGGTAGGCCACAGCTGCAAACACATGCAAAAGAAGAACGCAGACCGCGGTCCTCATCGTACAAACATTCGGTTCCATCTTCAATTCTCCTGTTTCAGAATTCACGAAGTCCACTCGCAGCAAAGACACAAACTCGCAACCAGCCAACAATTAGAGAGCGCCAACCTGCTCATAGAAGAGTGAAAGTGCCGATGAGTGTGAAACAGGCTTTCACGGTGCTCTTTTATACTTTCGAATCACGGCTCTCTGGTCGTTCGAGGAAATGTGTAGTGCATGGTACACGGGATGTTCGAGTAATAAAACAGCCGTCTGGTTGTCGCATGATCATGAATGGACAAGCTGCAGTTAGTACTGCACAAAATGACGTCATGTCATAGAGCAAGTTTGGACGACGCGTTTCTGCCAGTAGATCCGCCCCCGTGTAATTGGCATCTATACTCTCGCACTTCCTTTATCTACTAGCAAGCACTTTTTCACAAGGTTCATGAATTAACTCCAATACGTCAACTTAATTCGACCTTAAAAGAAAAAGCTGATGTAATGTTAGTGTCGGGGAGGCAATATGGGCTCTATAGACTTTGTCAAGACGCCGACCTAAAGAGGGGGTGGTGGCCCTTTTTAGTTTACGGAAAAGTACTGGACGAAAAACAGCATTGCACACTTTTACCAAAATGAACCAAAAGAATGATAACAGAGTGCAGTAATGTTAACAATAATTAAAGTGTTATGATTCGAAGAAAAAAGTACATATTATCACAAAAGTTATGAATCTTTTATTGAGCAGTAGGCCTTGGTTTCTGTTGTCCTGGGATGACCCGCGATGACGTCTGGCATGCTGTTCCATACTGGAACCAGGAGGTAGTGCGTAAAATGCGTATTTTGTGAAAACTTTTGGTGCATTTCATATTTTGAGTTTATAATAAACAAAAAGAAACTTACATTCAAAAACGGGACTACATGAGACTGTGAATGATTCCTGCAAAAAAAGGAACCCATTATTTGCAAAATACAATTAAAAACGATAAGAACCCCTCCGTTTCATGTTAAGTTATCACCCTTTCAGAATCAATTTTTCATCAAGAACAAAATAACGAGGAAATTGCATTAGCCAAAAAGAAGGATTGTGATGTACATGCAAACGGTCTCCCCCTAGAGAAGAAATAGCTAGCCGTGACAAGGGTGCATTAGTTAATATAGTGTGAATGATTTTAGGATTTTATTGAAAATATGGCATGAGGCCCCCCCCCCCACCACCTATTGATTTTCGGAGGCCTAAGTGTCTGGAAAAAAATAACCGGTCAACATTTCAGCACACCTCCCTGAAAAAATTCTGGATCCACCGTGCTAGCCCCCCCCCCCCAAATATTGGTTCTAGAACCGCGCCTGCGAGGGACCTCTGCATGATGGTTGATTGTTGTTCCTAAGGCGGATAATAAAGCTTCCTAAAATTACACCAAAAACAGATTTTGTTATATTCTCAGAATATTTCACTTGGTCAAGTTATGGGTGGTGTCTCAGTTGTTGTTTTTGATAATATTACTGAAATAACAGTCAATTCGAATGTTTAAAAACGTATCCTTATTATAGCAAGGCCGCACTGAATGGGACTGGCATCTTGGCATTGACATTGTGTAATAACACGAAATAATGTCCAGGCCGATTGTAAATATGAATGTGTACAAGCCGATTGTGAATATGAATGTGTACAAGCCGATTGTGAATATGAATGTGTACAAGCCGATTGTGATCTGATACACCGTGCCCTCTGGAGACATGCACACAATAGGGAACAAAAGATTGTATACGTCTCCACAGGGCAATTTCTATAGATGAATAGTCTCCACAAGGTTTACACGAAAGAGATATATGGATTTTACTCAAAAACTAGGAATTTCCAAGGTATGTTGATCCGTCGCAAATGATGGAATTTAAAAAAAGGGTTATTAAGTCCAAATTTCAGCCAAGGAAATTAATTCTGGTTAAAATAAGAGCATTTTGAAACTGTACTTTCAAACTCGAAAACTTTAGTAAACGAGAACAAAGAAATGTCTCCACAGGGATACAAATTTCAGTATGGGTGAATGTGAATGTGTACAAGCCGATTGTGAATATGAAGGTCGGGGCAAGACAAGAGTTTGTTTGTCCTTTTGCTTCATATTTAACAAAATAAATCAATAGATGAAAAGACGATGAGTATAGCATCGATGTATCAACGGTCGTCTTCCTTTTTGGTTTAATTACCAAAATAGAATATAATTGCAATCAAACTGGCACGGTTTTATTTTTTTTTTTGGGGGGGGGGGAGCATGACCCCCTTTGCCCCATCTTGACCCTGCCTTGCTTTCAGAGCGGTTTCAACCGAGTCTTAAAGAATTATAAACAAAAATGGCTCTACTAGCCTCGACAAGTCTCGGATGGTGGCATTGTATACAATGACGTCATCCGCAGTCGACTTGACGGAAAGCGGTCCGATCATAATTATGTCAAGGCGTATTGTTTGCTACGGTGGCCTAAGGAGACCATAACGGAGGTATAGAAGTGTCTTTCACGACACGAATTATGTTATTTTACGATATCAACCCCCCCCCAAAAAAAAAAAAAATATTTGTAAATAACTATTAGACGTCAAATAATTTTCTTCATGCACCGAGGACGAATTCAAAATCTGTCATAGAATATTTTTTTTACAAGAAAGAACCGTTTAAACCGTTTAAGGAAAACTAAATTACGGAATAGGTTTAAATAGATTGCAAAGCTTCTCTTTACCATATTCAGCCATTTGCCTGATGTGACACAATTTTCAAAGGGAACCCAAATGAAATCTCTTTCAGGAACTCCTTCCGTTCTACGGCTTCCTAATGAGTTTCTAGGTCTGACAGTTGCCGGTATGAGCTCGATTTTTTGTCGGTATTATACCGACAACGAAGATGACTAAGCCCACTATCCGGTCAGAAAGATAAATTGGGGAACCATCGCCACGTTGTAAAAACATCATCCTACAAGCCATTGCTGAGTCTGTGTACAAAGTATAACACACATTAAATAAATAAATAAACCAACCATCATTTTGTTTGTCTGTCGTTTTACTAATGTCCTTTCAGATCCGTTTCAACGTATACGACACTGGCTTTTATACCACGGGACATTACATCAGTACCCAAAATTTTAATACAAAAAAAACCCAGCGCTGATTTAAACCATAATTTTGTCATAACTGAACGCACTGTATCTTACAATTTCTCTGAGAATATCATTGTTTATAAATTAAAGATCTATAAACCAAATCAAAGTTTTGTATTTTAACAAGCAGTGCTGACGACGCGTGATTTCAACAACTGAGGAACTTTTTGTTTTCATCTACACAATCGGATCATGTGTACGGTTTTCCACTTATTATTTTTCAAAAATGGTTTTGTGTGTTGAGTAGGGGGGCCGCCCGATAGTCCGAAGGTCCGATAGTCCGAAGGTTCTTAAGTCCGAAGGTTCTTAAGTCCGAATGCACAAACTTTCCACAAGAGGGGGGTTCGTTAGTCCGAAAATGAAATAAGGTTCGTTAATCTGAACATTTGATGCAATAGTCCGAAGGTTCATTAATCCGAAGGTTCATTAGTCCGAAGGTTCATTTATCCGAAGGTTCGATAGTTCGAATTTAGAATAAGGTTAATCAGTCCGAAGGTTCAATAGTCCGAAACGAAAATAAGGTTCGATAGTCCGAAACTATAACATAAGGTCCGATAGTCCGAATCGACAATAGGGTCCGATAGTCCGAATCAACAGTAAGGTCCGATAGTCCGAAGTGTCATACTGACGAACCGTATTGCCCATTCGGACTATCGAACCTTATTGTCAATTCGGAGTATCGAACCTTATTGTCAATTCGGAGTATCGAAACCCACCGTATTTTCGGACTATCGAACCTTATCATCTATTCGGACTATCGAACCTCATTGTCGATTCGGACTATCGAACCCTATCGTCTATTCGGAGTATCGAACCTTCGGATTAATTAACCTTATTCTTTTTCCGGACTAATGGACCTTTCGGACTATCAAACCTTCGGATTATCGAACCTTCGGACTGACGAACCTTCGGACCAATGACCCTTCGGACTAAAGAATCTTCGGACTATCGGGCTGTTACCGTTGAGTAGTACACCACATGTGAGTAAGAGTGACCGCTATAAAAAAAAATAGGGGTTGGTACGCATACAGCATGTCAGATTCCAAACCCCTAATTTCAACCAAGATTCTCAGATCTGTTGGGAGTTTCAGTCCCGCGGAAGAATGGAGGTCAAACTTAAAATCCTTAGCTTTCCAAGAATCCCCGCCGTTTAGTAGATGGACAATATTCAGAGAATATTGCCATCTACATAACGGCTTTCGGGAAAAAATTACTTATTACACGACTTCCAATTACTCTTAATCTGTGTTCTGGGTATTAGCAATTAGTATGCTTGTTATACATGTTATAGATCAGCATTTCCGTCGGTTAGTTCAGACTTCTATAGGACCGTTGGGAAATACAATAAGGGAGCTTTCTGACTAAACGGACATTAAAACTTTCCACAGTAGACTATCAAGGCCCTTTCTTTTAGGAGAAAAGCAGTATTAAGAGAAATGCTGCTTATTTGGGAAATGCATGCTCTGTGAAGATGCATGGAAATTGACTAGGAATTTAAACATGCAAAGTTTCAAACTATGCCAAGAAAAAGTAGTTAGAGTTGACTCCAATTTTAGTTATTTGCATAAATATTTTCCAAAGTACTGACTGGAAAAATCTAATAACATTGACTGAGTTTCAGTTGCACTCATCTGACTCTGAAATGGCTAGTCAAATTGAACTGGTTTCTATAGTCAAATCTGACTACTTTTTTTTAGAGTGTGGGCGTCGCGGGGGGGGGGGGGTAGGGGGACGCATGCTCCCCCCGGCAAAGTAGGGTTGCAGTGGGCTAAATATTGTGTGTCCCCCCTCCGCCTTCCGCCCTCGAAAAAAAATGATAAATTCAGAAAATGCCAGAGAAAGTACAAGGATTTTGTGAAATAATGTGCTTTGCCCCCTCCAGAAGAAAATCCTGGCGACGCCCCTGTCTGTGAAGTTCGTTATTTACCATTTTCTTAATTTTTACTTGGCACAAATTTGGGAAAACATATTAAACAGATCATCCCAAGAATATCGATCAATAAATTCCATTAAAAAAATCCATAATTGTTACCTGTTCTCCTACTGTTCCCCCCCCCCCCCCATTTTCAGAGATTATTCATTTTACCAGATCTCGGGTCA